AGAATAAGGATTTATAAAAGCTTAGCCCCATCCCACGTCTCAAATTGAAATGCAAATGTGTGGAAAGATTTTTCAGGCTGCCCGTCAGTCTCTGTCTAACCGAAACCGTCACATGCAGGTAATATATCTATCTATATTACTATTTGAGGAAGGCGTAGTTTCTGTCTATTACGAAGGTCGCGACATGGTGCTACGTAGCGCGGGTTACAGGTCACACCGTTGCACCTACCGCGCTGAAATTTGCGCAAGTTATAGAACAAGGATGGACAACGTGCCTTTGAGCGGTCTCGGCTCGATCGGATCGATAGCGAGCGCGTGCCCAAAAAGTGCAAATTCGCGTCATAGACTTTACATGTATAAATCGGCTGGCAAAAACGGGCGAAAATGGCTAAATTTGCCCGACACGGGTCCGTTCCCCGTGCAATATCTCGGTAGCCGTGCGCCCGATCGGCACGGGGAAAACAGCATCGTGTAGAGAATCGAACGGGCAATCGAATAGTGTGCGGTGCAGGGGTGGCACGCGCCACGTGCAAGTGTGAGGGCAATTTCATTTCAAAAAGTGCCATTTCAAACGGATTTTGGATTTTATTTTATTTTCCCGTGACCATCAGACTGAGAGAGTTGAAACAACGTCAATTGCCAAGAGAAATGTACCGCCTCTCATGGAAAAATTGTGGACAGCTAATTGATCAAAAACAATGTGGAAAAATCGCTGAATTAAAATGGTATTTGTCCATAATGTGCCACTAAAAAGATACACGGGATTTGCTGCTTAACCTGATACGCTTGATAATTGAAAATGCTATCATTAGAAAGAGCATTCAATTCTCTCCAAGATCCAATCATCACGTTTGCATGACAAGCAACAGTATTCTTAAAAATATAAATGTTTTAAACCTCTGCAAAACGATTTTTAGCGAAAATTATCTACGCCTTTCATTTGTCTTAAAACTACGCACCTCAATTATAAAGCACATTTGACAGATTCTGAAGTGGAAAGCATGCTTATCAGACACGGGCACCTCGATGCGGTGGATATTTTTTCCACAAACCAAAACGTTTAGCCGTCAAAAAGCAATCGACCGAAATGGATAGATAACCCAACCGACACAAGAACAACCGAACACCCGCCGATCGAAAATATCCCTTTTCGCGTTGCGGAGCACGCGGGTCACCCTAGTTTATTTCTATTTCCCTATGGTTAATATGTTATTGATGCATATTATCCATTAAAATAGACATGGTGTAGGGTAAATGGCCAAATCACGAACACTGCCAAAATCCGAGCAGCCAACTCAAACTTTCAGCTGCAATATCTGATATTTAGTGTAAATGGAGTTGGAATATGGCCAAAATTAAATTGACAACTTTTAGGTGAAAGGTGGTGATTTGGGTTCAGGGGCGAGTCAACTACTGGGTTATTTTGCACCCATTAAATGAAAATTCTGCTCCAATTCTACCCATTGAACCTCGATATCATGATCCACCTGTCCATCGCTAGCTATCCTTCCTTATTACATAGAAACTTTGAATGGTAGGGCAAATTATAATTTTAAATGACAATATTTTTATGTTTCTTCTGTAGGTATGTAGGTTGGTAGGTACACCAGACTGCTATGGACACTTTTCCAAGTTGGTGGGGCAAAAAACCTAATGTATGTCTTGGTTTGAGTCGTTTGATTGAGTTGATTGATTCCTTTCATTGTCGCGTTTGAGTCGATTGAATCAATTCCCGAAAACTGCTCTGACTTGATTGATTTGATTGGTTTCCCAAATTTGTCGTGATTGAATTGATTGCTATTGATTGAGTCGTATACAACCCTGGTTGAGAGACGAGAGGTCTACGATACAGTGACCAATTGTGTGTCAGACCAATGCCTTCTCTAAACAGCCACCAAACTATACCTACCATAATACCACATACTTACCAAATGCCATCTAGGTATGTTCTACATACACGAGAAGATATTTGCATAAATCAACATCTGTCATAATGTTGGTCTGTATAAATCAACATACGTAGCGTGTACACAACAGATACCGTCCATTTGCTCCGATCATTATGATCATTGATCAGCATGGCTACACACAGGCCATCGTAAGCAGTAATATATGACAGCGCCATCGGACGTTCGGCACCCTATCAATTATATCGGGAGAGATGGGCGCCAGAGAGCAGAGAAATGCGCCCGCCGGGCCTCACTCATCGGCTGACGATTCTCCGTCTGGGGCCGTTACAATTCTTCGTCTGGGGCCGTAACGCTGTCGGGTTTCGACAGAGAAATATTAGTATTAAGTGCTTACACAAGTTCTATATTGCAAGTTGACTCTCCATTTAGGTAAAAGGTTTTCGATCCTACAACTTACATCATATACCTACAAACCACAACAGACCAATGCGTTTCGTTACAGTGCGTCACATTTTTCTGTAGTGGTCTGTAATCTGTACTTCGAGTGATTCGCACTGGTCAATCAGTACGGAAGGCCTGTCTTGATGGCAAAATAATTCATAGCAAAAGTCATCAATTAGGGTAAGGTGCCTAATTAGTGACCCTTTCCGATTTGCAACCTACCTCCCTACAGAAAAACTGGCAGGAGAAAACGGGGTAAAAATATCGTCAAAAGGTCAGCCATACTTTGGTTATCAAATTAAATTATTTTCCGGTCGTCGATGTTTCTGGTGGGACGTTTCAGGTGAGTTTAAAGGGACTATCCCACCTTCTAAAATGTTGTTAAAACCAGTTAAATTGTGCCCGACTTTATAGATTGGATGACCAGGAACACGGTTCTGGCATGTATTTTTCATTAAACATCTTAGGCTTCCCATATTCCAAACACAAACTTTCAAATATGTGACGTCACAGCCCAAAATTACCTCCTTCCCCAGGCCACATTACTGTCATAAAGCTGATTCTTTTTACTCTGTAGGCACCACAACAAAGTTCAGACCAAGTTTTAAGCGATTTTTCAACGAACAAACCCATTTAAATCAGAATGACTAAGCGAGGTGACGTCACACTAACGGTCACTCTATGTTGAAGATAGGGCCTTGTACAAGGCCCATTTTCAAATGAAGGGAACGAATTTCTTCAACACCAAGAGGCCGCGGGGGTTGCAACCTAGATAGATAGTGGTTTCTGAACCTCGCCGCAAACTTGGCTATCTCAACTCAAATCCCATGTTAAAGGTGGGATAGTCCCTTTAAATAAAAATGACGAGTTTCTTATCCAAAACGTGTGTGTTTGGGCCCTCTCTGATGAAAAGCGATGCACATTAGGATGATGCACCTTTTTTATTCGGAATCGACGTTCCTTCTTCAATTGAATGCCGTTTTCCCATAGCGAATCGCTCAACTGTGCACAGCATGGCGGTTAAAAATGTGTCGCAACTCATATTTCCTATTTGCGCCTGACATGGTCGCAAATAGCTCAAGAAGGGAAAGAAAGGGGAAAAGAGAGAAATGAAAATGAGGTGTTGCCGAAGTTTGCAATGTGTGGTAGGGGATGACAAATGTCGTCACCGACTGCAGGGGTGCCGAATTCAGCGCGGACCTCGAATATCATACGAGATAGCCCGCAAAATTTGGGCTTCCGCCTTCTTTTCGCCTTTCGGTGCACCACGTGATCAGTTTTTACTTCCGTAAATGTGTTGGATAAACGTTCCTGTTCGAGTGATTGAATGCTTTGCGTATAGGTTACCCTTTTGAGATCATATTCCATCTTTTCAGGCGTTGCATTTTTTGCCATTTTTAATATGGGGAAACCCATAGACTTATTAGCGACCCTCCCCGGTCGCTAATCGGGAAGAGTTCCCTATTAGCGTTTTTGCAATGGTTTGCCAAAATGCTCACTACAAATAAGTTAGTGAATATTGGGGCAGAAAATGACTATATTTTAATAGAAAAATGAACGGTCTCTCCGAAAATCAAGCCAGTAATACAGTGGCACCCACAGAGCGTGAGCAATGACGGTTCAAATTAAGGGGGTCGCTAATTAGGCACTTTACCCTAGTAATCACACCTTTTTCTACAGAAACTGATTCAACTCTTTCCAGCATCTCCGAACTTGTATTCGATCCACCAATGTTCGGCCATTTGGTCGGTCAGCTGCCCAGCCCGGTCTGGCGGCTTCTTTGAGCGAGCGATCAATGCTTGTTACACGAAAGGCCCGGGCGGGTGGCCGCCCGTCGGCCGCTTACGACCGCTCTGTGGCCGCCGGGGTCCCGGCACCGCCGGCGACGCGGCCGGCCTCTGATTGCGCGCCGCTCGACGAGCCACGCCGCTCGTTCGTCCGACGAAAGGAGACCGTTCCGACGGTCGCGACGTGTTGATTGGGACGGACGTGAGCGGTTCGTCGCGGCTGACCCGACCAGATGGCAGGTCGGCAAAGTTCTGCCCCCCCGAGCCGCGCTGATTAGTTTGCTTTATGCGGTGCACCGGGTCGAACGACCCATGGTGTACTGGTGGGCCAGTGAAAACGAGTGCAACTGCAAGTGCAAATTTGTTCTCTGATTCGAAGTCGCAGTCTACTTCGGGCACTCCCTGTGGTTCAACTTTTTATGTTACTTTGGTTGTTTATAAGCTGATTAACGAAGCCAAATCACTGTCCTGGTTTTCAAGTTATCAACGTGGAAAGCTTTATGAAAACTAACAACAAAGCTAACTGTAGAAGTGGTGCACGGCGTTCCCAAGAATTTCAAAATATTGTAAAACGATAAGGTACTCATTTCCTAAATAAAGTCCGCAGGATTGCGGCATTAGCTAAACTTTCAAAATATTTCAGTGTCCCATTGTTCAAACTGCTGTCGTGTTGGTTGACGACAAAGCACTTCTGGAATCTCGAAGACACCAATCGCTTTTCAATCACCGCAGCAACCATGACATAAACTGGAAACCATCTAGTATGGTCTATTCTGAACTCCAAGACCTGATCATATGATCCATTTATCTCGCAGATCTGCTGTCTGGCCTGCCGTTCACGTTACCCGTCTGTTCTCCCCAGGACTCGGTGTATTCGTCAGTCGCACGGAACCAGAGGGTCTCGCCCGGTCGGCCGGCCTCCGGGTCGGCGATGAGCTGATCATCGTCAACGGCTACGATGTTCGTCGATTTCCGCTGCAACAAGTGCAACAGGTAGGGAAACGCGTCCGTCGTTCATGCATTTCTTGTTATCAATCGCAACGGGAAAGAAGGGTTTCATCGATCCTTTGAAAGTTTGATGTATTCTTATCGTTGTAAACCAAAGAGGAGATGGTTGGCTGCCGCCGACCGTCGAAGTGATTCGTCGAAAACCATTCCGGCGAACGATCCCACGAAGCGGATGGGCTCTGATGTCATTTGGCCTCGCCAATCCACTAAATGCCTCCCCAAGGTTATCCGACACCGGCTGTCAGGCCGAATCCAGATCTGTTATTGCTACGAGCAAATTCAATCAGAATCGTTTGCATCCAATCTGCATTTATGCTAAGGCTGAAATAAAACAAACTTGTGCGGCAGTTAACCCCAACTGTTCCAAGAATGTCGGGGTCGAACATCACGGTGGGCTGTTCCACTAGCCTCATGGTCCTGGAAATGGATTCTTTGTAAGGCTTAACCCTAGCAAGCTTCGGGAGCCCTTGTGTAGCTCTGCTGGAACGCACCGAAATCATTTGGTGTGCTAAATTCAGACGTTAGTTTGATATCCTAATCAAATAAGACGATTAACTTATGTAGGGATTCTTCATTTCGTGGCTGGCGCGCGGGGTGCGTTGGTTGGGGTGAGACTAAATGCTTACTTCGAAATCTAAGCTGCGTTGCGGCATTGGCGGTTATGTGCGGCGTGTATGCCGCATGATTAGTAAGCGGCGACCACTAAATTAAAAACTCAATAGCTTTGACCTGTTTTCAATGGATAACACTGCATACCAAAAATGTCCATCGCTCTCGTCATAGGATATTTAGATTTAAATAACTAACTTATCTACATCATTGTTTTGAACCAAATTAATACTCAGCCGCGAACGTATAAGGTATAACCCCTTGCCGTTTCGCTCCTGATCAAGCTAGAGCTTCGCGGAAAAAACGAGCGTGTTGCCCGTGACGAGAGAAAGCCGATGATACCCAATTTTAAGGTCCTAGGTCATCGGTTGACCTTCCAGGTCAGGTCAATGACCCAAAAGGCGGGAAAATTGGGACCTGTTAGAACGTCGTAGTGTGGCTGCTATGGGGTTTTTCGGGGTGCTGATCACGAATATCATGCTAGTTTTGATCACAGATGATGTCTTCATTCATTTAGGCCAGGTCGGGTTAGGTCAGGTCAGGTCAACCAGTAGAGGTCCTGCCAGGTATTTGTAGTAGGCGTCAACCGCCTCTGACAGCCTCGTAACATGTTACGAAGGCACCAAAACTACTTTGTAAACGTTCATGGTTGCTTAATTCGAATTCAGCTCGAAAAAAACTGACCTAGAAACATGTCAAACTCGAAAAAGTGAACCGAGGTCACCAAAGGTCAATGACCTGACCTGACCTTCAGGTGACCTTGACACCCACCCTAATGCATGGGGGCAACATCATATCACATGTTTGAACGCTTGAAACCACGAAAAGACTGCAAACGCGCTGCTAATGCGAGCCGACATACGCTGAATCGCGGTTCCGGCCAAACATGGTCTCGAAAAGTAGGTCACAGGTCAAAGGTCATTTGGGTCAGGGTCATGAAATTTTCAGGATGGGTGTTAAATTGATCAATGCGAGGGTACTGAAAGTTTCGTCGCGATCAGCCGCTTTTTAAGCGAGTTATTCGCGAAAAACCTTAGGGGGATTGCATCACCCCCCCCCCCCCCCTGTGCGGGCGAGGTCATGTTTTGATAGCAAGACTGAAACAGACTTTTTTGGGTAGCCAGGAAATCGCATGCCAGAGCCTATTCAAATTCTTTTATCGGCCTTTATATGCACCAGTCGCATACAGGTACGGGATTTAGCATACGATTTTCAGACAATCGAAAGACTGTTTGGAGACAACAAAGGAAGGAATGAGTGAGTTAAGTTGAAAGTATTAATTTGGTTCAAAATGATGATGTAGATAACCTAGTTATTTAAAGCTGAATATCTTATGACGAGAGCGGTTGGCATTTTTGGTATGCAGTGTTATTCATTGAGAACCGGTCGGAGCGTTTGAGTCTTTAATTTAGTGGTCGCCGCTTACTAATCATGCGGCATACACGCCGCACATAACCGCCAATGCCGCAACGTAGCTTAGATTTCGAAGTAAGCATTTAGTCCCACCCGTTGGTTGTCGGCTTGAGCATTGCGGTACAGTATGCATCCAGGCGCCTACGTCTGCTGCCATCTAGCGGCAGGGACTCAAATACACGTTTGTCGGGACTCCGCCACTAGATGGCCAAATACTGCCTCGTGCGGCCGAGGCTCAAGGAAAACTCGGCTGTTTCTGCAAAGGAAGACTTCCAACTTCCAACTGAGAGCGCTAGACGTGTTGACTGTTGAGTATCACGTCACATGGCCGTGAACGTGGCGTATTGAACCGCCCACCAGCCACCAGCCATTCATTACAATACTCATCTCGGCACTTTTTGTGTGTGCGCGAGCGGACGCCGTATCTCGCTGATAGACTGGTACGCTGCGTGGTGCGCCATTTTCGTAGTCGGCCCGCCCCACTAATGTTCGTCATTGTTATGGTGCGCGCCGGCACTCGCCGCGACGGGATCCGGTGTCTCTGCGAGGGTCCTCCACTAACGAGGGGCGCCGGGCGCGGGAGAGAATCGACTGGACGGCGCAGAGATGTTAACTGAGCATCAGAGGGGGTCCTTAGCGCCCTCCCCCCCCCAAAAGGACATAAATGGTTCCCAGATAAAATAATACAAAGTATAGAACAGGCCAGTTCTGGTACTATGCAGGAAAGCGTGTCCATTAATTGCTGGAATTAGACTAAATCTTGGGTTAATTGCTTTGAAAGGTCATTCAGATTAGATTGAAACTAATTAGTCTTGAAATAGGCTGAATGAAGAAACTTAGAGCAAAAGGCTTAATAGATGCGATGTTGACTATCAAAGCAGTAGATATTTTATGAGCCGGCCGTAGTACAATTTGGCACTATTTTCCGTCGCCAATAAGACCCAGGAAAACCGGTTGTTATAGATTTCCCTATAATATTTTCAATGTCTGTCCTAGCTTCTCTTACATAAATTCATATAAATGTTTCATTATTGGCTTACAGCTGGATTTCCAGCGAGTCTAGGGAGCACAGAAACAGTAGATATGTTCCGCGAATTAGCCAGGATCTTCCCCATTATGGCCAATTATCTCGGCTAATTTTCCGTGTAGGCCGTGCAGAACGCTGCCACGAGAGAAAATCCCTTTACGCCATTTAGATAATTATTTAGGACGGAGCACCGAATATATCCGTTCATTGGTGACCGGGTAGGTCGTACGGCGATGGTCGGGCAGGTTCACGGGACTCGGGGCGGAGTAGGGCAGACCGGTGACGGGGGAGGGGAGGGCTGAACCCTGACCCGGCCATGTCGATGTCGATTAGTAGATGTGGCTGCCCGGCGGTCGTTGTTGAAGCGGTCGGGAATCACGGACCGCCATTAGAGTCGATCACGAATGGGCGTGTCCGCGACCCGTGGTCCAGCGGGCCGGCCCCAGCGCGGACGGTCGATCGGGCCGACAGGTGTTTTTCAGCCCCATGTGTATGGAAAGCTCAGCTGAGTTACAGCATGTCGGCAGGCCATCACATGCACACACCAGCCAAATGGTGTAGATGCATGAGAGCGAAACCGAACGGTAGCGGATTGTCATGCACTTACGCGAATGATTTACTAGCGTTTGGCTTGTGCTCTCTGAATTCCACATTTTGCTCATCTGTAGCATAGAAGGTATGTGCAAATTAAAAAAGGAAAAGAAGCATGTCAAAGAAAACGAGCAGGCTTTTGAAAAAGAAGGCTTTGCGATATCTTTTTTTCTTTTTTCGTTAGCAATGCGAGGAACTGTTGTGACCGGCTGCCACGGCTGGATGATCCGGCCGTTCTCTAACGACCCGCCATGAGCCCCAACGACCGAAAGTAACGCTATAGATTGTGGTCGTTCGCCTCAAAGGCCGATTTCCAGCTAAGATGGCCACAGCGCCCAGCCAGGACCACCAATCTCACGAATGGCTTTTTGGATAATATATCAATCAAATAATTACACCGTGGTTTTATTTAATGGACTCTTCAGTTGACCGATGCCGACTATTCGCCGTCCGAAAACGATGGCAGTTTATTAGTTTTCTCGGTCGCTACTCCTGAAATGGCTGTCCCAGTCACAAAGAGAGCCGAAGTCTGCCGCGGGTTCAGTGCACTCTTGTCGATCGCTGTCGTGTCCCGTTCTCTGATGGAATAACACGGATATTTGCTCTGCCATTGACTGGGGCAGGGCATATAGACACGGCCGGTCGCTGGGGATTGGACGACAAAGGAGAGGTGCGGCGGTGATATTCAGAGTGGTCCCGGGCCCTGGGTACCGGGGTCTGGGTTACTGGGGTCTGGGTCACTGGGCCCATTGGGACGGTTATGTGCATGCATAGAGTACATAGGTACCGGGTACTGGTTACTTGCACGATGTAATCCATAAAATGGGTATCGGGTGGTGGTTACTGCCATGGGTCACTGGAGCTTACAATCGGGTAGGTACTTGGGTCACTATTGTAGGTACAGTCCAAACACACGAGAATTGAGGTGGCTGTGGCAGTGAGGTACAGTGAATCTCTTTCCCCAGACGACTTCTGCGGTACGGGGTACTTCTGTATTACAGGCTATGGAGTGCAGGTATTTGTGCTGATGTATTGGAGCACTAATACAAGGAGAGCGCTGGTGTTCTGGGACCCTGCAGCACAGCAGCGCGGTGTTGCTCCGACGCTTCAATGTGGAAAGTGGCGGCCGCAAACCCGAGCCGCAGTCGACAAGGGCGGGCTGCCGAAATCGATACCTGGCACGTCCTGAACATATTTAAAGAGCACACACTGCATAGATTGTTCATGGAATTGGACATGCAACGGCCGAGTCGGGCTGTATGAAGTGTGTGGACATACACTATTGAATATACCTGCATTGAATTGATAATTTGCTTACATTCCACAAACTCCCCCGCCGCCCGGCATGAGTGTCCATTGCACAACTTACTCACATAGTAATGAACGCACATTGTGTGCATTGTACAGTCCACAGCAGAAGTAATGTGGGGTTTCAGTCATGGGTATGTTCTGCTTCTGAAGCTTAGGAACGATTAGCCAGACTACAATGAAACTTTGAATGTAGCCTATATGTATCGACACCCTTGCAGCTGCAACTTTAGCTATTGAGATCTTCTTTTCGATCACTCCGTATTAAACAATCGCCAGTCAAAGCCAACCGTTGAGATTGGTAAAACCCTACATTACTTTAGCGGTGGGCTGTACGTGCAGGTGTTGACTTATGCCTGAATGTAATAATACCTACAAAACGTTTTTTGATGGCTGCTGGTAAGGTAACAAATGCATCAATCTAAAGGTAGACATTGTTGTTTAATTTTCGCTCTAGACAAGTTGATATCAACATAAGTCAACATAAGTCTCATGCTTCCTTTATCTTGACGTTCTCTTCGTCACTTATCTGTCCTCAGATTCTCTCCAGCTCTTCAGTGGTGGACATTCTGATCAAGACGATGGGGAACGGCGACAACTACGTCGTGAGCCATACGTACACCTGGTGTGACGCGCAGGGTCGCGAGGTCACTCCACCGCCCGACCTACTACACACCTCACGGGAGGGTGGCCACGACAGAAAGGTAAGGCGCGCTCGGACTCCGCTGCTTCATTAGTTGCTGGTTAGGTGTTTGTGACGTCTCCAGCTTCACCCACAATGGGTAGCTTTTACCTTGAAGCAAGCTTTATATTTCAGACTACCCTCGGATCCCGAGTTTTTGCTTTCTGCACTTCGCTTTTAGCCTGTATCGACCGGCATGCCGGCATCTCTCCTCATTGCTCCGTCGCTCCATCTTCACTAGACGGTAGTTTTCAATGCGGGGCGGCGCATTCACCCGGCGGCTGGCTGCCGGGCGGCGCATTCACCCAGCGGCCGGCTTCCGGGCGCGGCGGAATGGTTCGGAAGCGACGCCGGCTGTCCATTGTGACGCCGCATCCCGTACGGTCTAATCAGGTCGGGGCGCCTCCGGCCGGCGACGGCGGCTCTTAGCGCCCTGACGGGACGTCGACGCAGCCCGCCGGAGCCCAACAATGCACCGGTCACTACTGATGGCTCCCGCAGGACACCGTTTGAGCATAGATACTGGCACGGGCGGGGCCGGAGCGGCTAATAATAGCCGCGGGCTGTGATACATGCAGGCACGGGCTCACAATAGCAGGGGAAGGGTCAGGGGTCAGCACTGTGACGATGATGCTGAACTTTTTGTGCCGTTGCTATGTCAGAGTTGAACCCTTTCCAATCGCGCCTGTACGCGCTTTCGATAGATGAAGAATATCGGTAAAACATGATGTGTTCTTCATTCGCATATTTTTTACACATTCAACTAAATTATGCAAATGCGATTTCTCAAAGCTCAAAGCCAGTTTTGCCATGTCGGATATAATATTCATTAAGAAGTTCCGTTGAACTGTGCGTCATCAACAAAGACCGGAATCCCTGCTAATATTTCGATATGACACAGCACTGGAGCGCCGTGACAGAAGTCCTATTTTCACCGACGGAAAGACTAAGCCGATGCGACTCAGTTGAGCCCGTCTTGAGCCGGTGGTTTAGGCAGGATGAGGCGGGCTTTCCGTCAGTTTTCCTGTGTTGACACAGCTCTAAAATAGGGCACGTGCAGACGGTAGGTATGTGCCGCGAGCGCCGCCTCTCGCCCCGTGTGGGTCCATTAGGAGCGTTGATAATTGGTCTTGACTACTGAAGCAAGGACAAGTGAATCAGTGACAACTGACAATCCTTTCGTGAGTTCTGATTGAACTGGATCAGGAAGCCAGGACGAGCTATAGGAAGTCGATCAGACCTATAGGTAAGTTTAGTGATAGTGATTTATTTTTTGTTGTGTAACTAGGTATTGAAATATGGTGATGCGTTGTGATGCCCAGAGTCTGAAATTTGAAAGATAAGTTTATTTCTAACATTCTAGCCTCATTTTCAAATTTACTTTTTTGGCCTCAAAGGTGATGAGAAAACGGCAAAAAATGGTACCTTCTGTTTCAAGATGACTTGTGAAAAATTGCCGACAGCTAGACATCGCGTAGGTGACAGCTTTTGAGTTTTATTCACCTCTGGATATCGACTTGAAACCTTCACTATCGTGTTCCTTGATCAATTCTCTATCGTTTGGTATGTATTTCGTTTCCCTAGCTCTAAAAATGGCGCGTTGGGAGCGCCGGAAGTCGGCAAGGTCACAGTCGGCGGCAGAAATTCGAAAAATCAAAATTTAAATTTTTGAAATCTGATTGTATTTTTGGATTTGGAAGGTCCATTTGCTCCCTATAGAAGCTAATATTGCTGCATATTCCCATTGAGGTGACAAGAATTAGCAAAATAGTGGTTCGGGCGCTTTTCAAAAATAGTACCGGACGCTGTTCCTCTTGTGACGTCATAGCTCCGTGACCTGACCTGACCCGGTCAAATTTCTTATACCATATGATAGCCAATACTTGCCCCAACATGCATGGGAAGTTTCATCACGATCCATCAACCGATGTCCGTACCACCTGCAGGAAACCTCGGGCGTTGGCACTCAGTTTGTGAAAATCCGGCCGGAGGCTGTACCTCTTATGACGTCATAACTCCGTGACCTGACATGACCCGATCAATTTTTTTTTCGGCAAAAGATGCGCAAAGGTTGCCCCAGAGGGTATTGAAAATTTCAGCCCGCTACGACAAGCCGTTTAGCGTGCACTTCGAAAAAACCTCAGGGGGGGGGGTTGATACAACCCCCCCCCCCTAGGCGTTCTAGGGTTAAAATATTCCACACTTAGGTTTTTTGGGTATTAGGCAAGGCTATATAAACCAGGTAGAACGCTCCGGGAAAAAAGTTGGAAACAATAAATTAGTTGCGGCATTCCCTGATGACGCGAATGTGGGTCAGCGGCCGGCGGCCGGCCGCCGCTAACACTGTATGAGGAGGGATGCGCGGAACTTTTGCTTGTTGGTGATTGCGCTAGGCAGTTAAATGGTAATGTTAGGATATGTTTCGAAAGTAAATTGAACGACGCTTCGAACGCCGTCAATGAATTTGCGATACGACGACTATTTGTTTAGTTAGAGCCGGCGAACTTTTACCTTCCGACCGCGCGCGGAGGCGATATGGTGCCACACTGGCGGTATTTACGATAGCTCAAAATTCTTTTGAGATAAATAGACGAAATTTGACATGTCCTATCTTTTGATCAAGCTGGATCTTATGGTACAAGTCGCATATTTAAGGTAGGTCAGGTTGTTGACCTATGTTGTCGCTCGTGAGCCTCTGCACAGTCCAAAAACAACGCAATTTCTGAACACTCAGTGCCAAGAAATCCTTCACAGAAAGATGACACTTGGCAGAAAGAAGAGCTGTCGGTTTCTTACCGTTCGTATGTGTCGTGTTTTCACAAGAGTTTAGTAAGGTCAGGTCCCTCACGTCACCTCCCCTCATAACTCAATAGGTTTACTATCATAGAAGCGTTTATCAATCGCCGGAAATCTTAGCCAATCCCACTGGACACTGGATCCATACCCACATGGGGCCCTCCTGACTGGCCACCCCCTCTGAAATCCACAATAACATTGGGCTGCGGCCACGGTTATGTATTAATGCTTTTCACTAACAGAAATACAACTTCAACCAGCACAGTGCACGCCGCCACAACAGTCCGACCCACGTCCCTGATATCGACTAGCTCCCGGCCGGATGCACATACGCGGAGCCAATCAGTCCGAATGTGACCTGCAGCTTACAATTGCTGTGTCGCATGGCGCATGGCACAGGACGATTCCTAGCAGCTGTCGGCTGGAGTGGAGAAACAGCACGTTGCGACACACCGCGCCGGCGACAGAGCTCAGCAGGGCTGGTTGGAGGCTGGAGCCGGAGGTAAGGGCGGACACAGGCACAGACATTGCAGGACACAGGGCTGCGGAGTCGGAGTCGGTCGGAGTCGACAGTTGTGACCGGAGTCGGAGTCGGAGTCGATTTTAGAAACCCGAGCCGGAGCCGGAGTCGGAGTCACCGAAAATCTGTCGACTCCGCAGCCCTGCTAGGTCTGCGGAGTCGGAGCCGGGAGTTGGAGTCGGTCGGAGTCGACAATTCTGCCCGGAGTCGGAGTCGGAGTCGGAGCTGGTTTTTGAAAGCCGGAGTCGGAGTCGGAGTCGGAGTCGCCGAAAATCCATCGACTCCGCAGCCCTGGAGGACAAATAACAGGATGTCAGGTAGGGATATAATTCAAGACGAATGATTCAAGACGGACTGAAATAATACACATTTTGCTCACTTGGATACCAACTTCAAACTTGACGTTTATGTATAGCACCATGGAAACAATGGGCACACAGGAAAGAAAAAAAGATGAGGGTTTTTTAACTCAAGGAAGTAAAACAGCCCGAAGTGCAGACAAGCACATACTTTTGGTAATAGCTATCAGCTGTCCTACTCCTCTTCTCCCTTCATCAACTACTGGACACATTTGAAGCATCATATATAGCACCAATGTCCATAACCAAAGCTTGCAAGTAGTTTTAACTTATATGAAGCCAAGGGAAATGTGCCTACATCATGCATGTAAACTCAAAATTACACATGCATGACAAAGGAAGCTTATGTTAAGAGAATAGTTGACAAAAGCATCTCATGGTTAAAATTATTCAAAACTGCACACAGGGCAAACATAAAAAGCAGCAAGTGTACTGTTCTGTTATGCTAAGAAATAATCCAAAACAAAATACAATCTTTTCATGTTTGAACTGGTTGTTCTTCTATGCCCCTTCATCCATATCTTGATTACAGATGGGCTGTTACTGTAGGCTGATGAAGTGACACTTGATTGCCTTTGTGCGAGTTTCAGTTGCAGCTTCCTTGGTACTGCACTGGAAAGCAGATTGAATTGAATGCCTCTGAAAGATAGGAATACAGGCAGGGTTAGCTGTAGTAGTGTCAATGATAATAGACATAACATTTTTGTCCTTTGACATACATTTGTTGAAGTACAAAAAGGTACAAAATAAATTGGTTTGTTTCAAGACACGCACACTGCACAAAGCCGCACAGACATTACACAGGCAAATGAAATTGGTACACATAAAATTTGATGATTAAAAAGGTGAAAACTTGCAATAATAATTGAAGTAAAAGTTACAATCACAATCATTTGATTTAAAATGACTTGACATAAGTCACAAGAGCAACGCTCCTATTCTTTTATGCTTTCATTATCCTCCACATATCAACCAGCTTGATACCAGGCTGTGCAATAGTGTGTACATAACCCCATGTTGCCATTTTATTAGAGCAAGTGGGGTTAAAACAACAATGCTAATGTGAAAACCCACATCTGCAACCCGTACTGCAGTTTCAATCACCTTACAAGCACACCTTCTGGCAGTTTGATAGGCAGAATGGTCATTACTACTTTTCCCTCATATTCAACACATATTCCCTTTATACAAATACAGTTTAGACCTGGTTATTGGCAAGCACTTTCAAGAAAAGATATGATTCAAGTCCAAGACAAAGGTCGAGAGAAACAACACCAACATAAAACACCGACTATGTAGCACTAATACTGCCAAATTCATAAAAATATATACATGAGTCGATCAGAAATTCACTGTAGATTTCGAAAATGGTGTCAAATGCCACTCAAATACCCCCATTTGCATGTACGAAGCAATAAAACACTGACCTTCAATTCCGCGTGCCATTCTCCATAGGCCACTGTGTATTAAATAACGCGTTCACTGATAGCAAAAAATGAGACCCACATATGACGCGTTTGCTACCAGCCAATCAGCGCTCGAGTTACCGAGCGCTGATTGGTGGAGAGGGCCGTCGTCAGCAGCTAATTACACGTTGTTTTCCTTGAACATGTGCGTGAGCGCTGATGCTGCTCACGGGCTGTTCCCATTTTTCGTAATGCTGAAGGCACGGGAGCGAACCCCCCTGGTATTAGGGTAAACTGGCTTAGAGGCGAAGCAGAACGTCTGGTTCATGAAGAACACACACAGTGTTTCACATAGACCGAAGACACGTGCTGCTTCTTCGCGTGCAATCTTAGTGGCCCCAGGGGGGCTTCAACTCGACCAACACCGGTTCTTCTTCGTTCTCCCTAGTCACGTGATATTACGTCACACCAAGCGCGCGAAAGATAAACCCTTTGAAGGTTTTGCACGAACTAGCATCGGGTTTAAGAAGAAGGGGTTGTGGTTTAATCAGTGTAATGGCTTTCATCAAGACCACGCCCGCGGTACCACGTTCTAGCGTCCACCGGAAGCGATCGCCATTTTTCGATCGCGTTGGATCACGCTTTGTGCAGTGACGAGCGGCTGGTGCAAGATTGGGTGAATGGCAAGTAATCAAATATTGAAGAACTGAAATAAGGTTAATTTTTTGCTTGTCAAGTGTTGTGTATTATTTATATTACTTGTGATTGACCATAATAAGCAATATCACAACGCTCTTCAAATGCATGGATGAATGCATTGGATGAAGACAATTCATATGCAAGACCAATCAATGCAGTAAGTATTTATATGTTGTATAAATGCCCCATAGCTTAAATTATGCATGTGGTATTTAGACAAATCTTCCAAATGAAGATAAACCAGGAATAGAATCAGCTTGCCATTTTGGGGTCAATTGATTTAGGCATAAATTTGGCTGATTTTGATAAACATATGTTCTTGCTGATTAGTGCAATATTTTATCTAGCTGCACTTTATATGTCAAGTGCATTATTTTATTTTCGGAGTAGGCTCATGGTTTCTGAAGTCAATCTAAGTTTCTTTACTTCCTGTCTGTTGAATAACGCATCCGCCCGACTCTTCATTCCAGGGGACGAGGCCATCTCCGCTCTAATTGAGGCCCTGGAGTCTGAGGAGAGCGTCCTGGCGCGCGGAGACGTCGACATCGTCGAAAACGCTGGCTTGAAGCTGGTGGTGGAAGGAGAAACTGTATGTGATTTGGGAGAATGCGATATCGCCACCCGGCTGCTGACATGGGCGATAGCGCAAACATACAGTGTTTGTGAAAACATCCACTTGCTGAAGCTAAAAATGTGTTCATATTTGGCTCCTGGAGTTCTTTGGCTTGGATATGTAAGGCAAGTGACGCGGCCGAATGGAAAGCGTTCCTGCAGGCTGATTGCGGGCTGATCGCAGACTGAATGCGGGCTGGTTGCGGGCTGATCGCATGGGCTGGTTGCGGGCTGGTTGTTCCTGACTGGAGACTTGCAGGCTGATTGCTCAGAGTAAAGAGGAAGGTAATACATTTTAAGGTGTATCAAATACTGTGTTTGCGCAGCAGATGTGACGGCGCAGGTCGATAGCCATGCATGGGAGGTTCAATAGACGAATGAACGGGGATTTTGCGGTATTGCAATAGAACTGAAAGGGTTCTACAACCGATATTCAGAACACAGGGTGGTTTCCCTATAAACCTCAGGGACTTCTTCACAGACCCTTTGGGGTTCTTATCTAGGTGCTAAGAACGCTCTTATTATAAACCCTAAACCTCATAAGAGTCTTTGGAAGAATCGTGTGGATTCTTTTGATGAGAATGCAAAGCCGTCTACGTGAAGAACCATGGAGGTTCTGAAAAACGGTGGCATAACATTTTACCCCACAGGGGTCTAAATACCCCTGTACGTTCTTAACGTCCTTCCAAAGTGTTTTCAGTGTACCAAGTTTCTAGGACCGATGGTCATGGACCTCGCACCAGTTGTGGCCCAGATGTGACGTCCCCCGTCCCCAGTCGCCCGGTCCCTCCCTACTCCGTCGGCGGCCAAGGCCGCGTCGGTCCCCGCCTCCGCTCAACCGGCGACGAGCGGGGACGAGCTGTCGCGCTGTCGCCGTTTTTCCTGCGTTGTCTATGGCGCTTCACAACGCACCGGCTGTCGCACCGGCGGGATTTTTCAGCCCCAGCTGTCTACAAAGAGACGACGCTGTTAAATTTTTGTGCCGTGGTTCATAGTGGTCTTCTATGGGAAGACAGCTCTGATTGTAGCGGAAACGGCCTAGTTATCTACTTTAAATGCATCAACTGAGATGCTCGAATCTGTCTGTTTATTCCTATGGCTGTCGCCTACGCACGCAGGCGAGTAGCAGGGTTTTTTCACCTCTGTCGATATCTCCCACCGTTTTGCCGCAATCGCCACCGAAAGTTGAAAAAAGTCTATTTTTCCGAAAATTTGACCTTTGACCGGTCAAAAGTAGGTCAAATGTTGACCTAGGACCAAAAAATATACCACCAATCGCGAGATCTCGTTGAGAGCAATCCGTTGGTTTTTTCCGCTAAGCTCTACGACCTTCCGTTTCGAAACGCCAGGGGGGGGGTCGTAACAACCCCCCCCCCCCTGGTCGTTCGTGTTATGAGAAATGGCCTGGTCGTGCGAGGGTTAAGATGCTTTTGCATAACGTTCTTTCAACTTGTTTTTAGTGTTGTCTTATATCGCCTGCGCAGTATGATGCTTTCCCAGTTTTTCGATGATATTACGATCGATACCAGATTTTGAGATTGCACTTATGCTTCTCACTTGTCCAGGGGTGGGACCGGGGGCGAAATGTTTGATAACACACACTTTATTTCAGGTAATTTATGTAATTTCTTGTCTTAAGAAGGGTAAGTATGTCACTGATATCAGTGGGCCTCTTTATTTCAGATGGACTTTTCTCTGGAGATTGTGTGAGCGATGCCACCTGCTCCCTACTTCAGGTGGACTTTTCTCTAGAGATGAGGGTCCATTTGGCTGATGTCAGTCGCTCTCTCTCTATTTCAGGTAGACTTTTCTCTAGAGATTGTGTGACTGATGCCACTTGCTCTCTGATTCAGGTGGACTTTTCTTTGGAGATTGAGAACTGTGTGACTGATTGCACCTGCTCCCTATTTCAGGTGGACTTTTCTCTGGAGATTGGAGACTGTGTGACTGATGCCACGTTCTCTCTATTTCAGGTGGACTTTTCTCTGGAGATTGGGGACTGTGTGACTGATTGCACTTGCTCTCTACTTCAGGTGGACTTTTCTCTGGAGATGGGTGAGAGTCTGGGTCTGACGATCCGCGGAGGGGCCGAGTACGGCCTGGGCATCTTTGTCACCGGCGTGGACGCCAACTCACCCGCCGACCAGGCCGGCATTCAGGTCAGCTGCGCGGGGCGCGTGTACCGCATACAATTTCGCGTGTTTTGAATAATTAGTGAGAAAGGCGATTATGTTGAACTAATGAAATTTATTTAATTTTCGCAGTAAGTTTCGATGGAGGATTTATACCTATCATGATTGCAAGGCTGAGAGGTAAATGCCAGGCTCCTGACTACATTGCAAGGCTACGTGCTAGTCAAAAATAAGCAACGTTTCTTGAATGCTTTCAAGGATGCACATGCCACCCAGTCAGCGAACCGCGCCCGATCTCACGGTTTGCATGTCGCCTAAATACGGCCTTCCGGCACATATCGACAAAGTGACATCGGACCTGGCCATAACTCAGGCCCGTATTGATCGAATGGGAAGGCCGCTGCTCACAGTCAGGCCCCTGCCTGCCTGGCGTCGCCATCAGAGAACGAGGCATTAACTGATATGTTTATCCGTGGGAAAAGAGGAGCCTGCATCATTTTTTTTTGACATAAATGATGGCAGACTTTTTTAATGCACACTTGCCATACACTTTTTATACTGTAAACCATACTATTTTGAGATTCCAATTGACTCCGATATGCAATGCCTACATAAACATGCACATTGCACAATTGGATCACATCTAGCTGGCGGAGCCAAAGAGAGCATACCCATTATAGAACCACTCCGCCCAGTTTTGTTGTTCATTCTGTTTTGCTCTTAAGGCGTTTTCGTGAAGAGATAGTTGTAACCGGACATTTATTTCACGACTCGGTGGGTCCAGTGAAACGTTCAAGCGACTCGCACGACTCACAACTTGGGCTCCTATGGGGCGCACGATGGCGCCAGCAAAATTTTCACGGATGCATCGTTTTCCATGTTTTTTGTCCGATTTCCTTAAAGGAAATAGTTCACTTTCACGAAATTATTTTTTTTTTTTTAACGATTTATTATTTTTTATGTTCAAAATAATCAGCAAAGAAAATAAAACCTTTTTATAACAAAAGATTTTTTTTCTATATTTTGATATAGGAAGAACTTTTCAGTTTCTGTAAGGCACAAGCGATCCAGTATGAAAAGAGCATGGGTCCCGAAAATTCTTCAGAAACAGAGAAATTATCGCAGCCACCGGCATTTGGGCGATCTGCTCGATCTGATAATGTTCCCCTGAATGTCCTAATTGATCAGTACGAGAATTTCTCTAGAGTTCTCGTAGATAATTTCTCTAGTTTTTGAAGAATTTTCGGGACCCATGCTCTTTTCATACTGGATGGAAATATATGCAAGGCACACATCCTCAACGCAAGACACCTTTTTCGGGACGAGAAATAGAATATCTTTGCCTAGGGTGATCGTTGGGCTGTAAAAGCTCCTGATTTATGCTCGTCTCAGCCCAAGCTACGGAATTGCTATTCCAGTTCAAAACCCATGTTAAAAAGTGAACTATTTCCTTTAATCGCCATGTGCTTACGTTTATTGTCCCGATTTTCGGTGAATTTCGGCCTGTGAATTCACAGCGCTTACGGGGATTTATAGGGAAATAATACGCGCATGCCTCGCTTCTCCGATGGCGGTTTCTCTCTCATAAATACTGCTAACGTCCCGTGCTTAGCCCTTTATGAGCATGGGCTCCAGACCTTAATCCCAATGAACCACATTATGAGTGTGGCTGAATCGGCCCTGTTTTACGACAGATCGATTTGTCCGAGTCCGTGAGCAGAACCCTTGTTATGCGGGTCACATTAAATCGCCATGAAACTGTCCAATGGAGGCCGCTGGCGACCATTCGATAAAAGGGCATTACTGAAACAGCGTTCCACTAACACTTATGATTTAATATGCAGATAGCATGAATAAACACAATATCTTTGGAATGACGCTAAGAAGCTATCTGGGATCAAAAACTGTTCTGGAGCTCTGCTGATGTCTAGGGATATGTTTCGTCTTTATCAAGCCTGAGGTTGTTAACAACGAATGCTGTGTTGATCATTCTCAGTTCGTCGGACCAGGAAATTAAACAATTTAAATTCATTAATTGAATATTTAAGCGGGTAGGTAACATGACTTACCCAACTGGAACACAGGGCTTGATTAAAGGGAAATGCAAGACAAACAATGCCCAGTTCAACAGTCAATCATAAGACCATTAACTGGCACAAATGAATACAATTTCTCCCTGGTTGATACTTGATAACATGTCAAGAGCATAAGAATAACCAGGTTATTGCTTACCAAAATATATCTGCCTATACCGGGCTCCGAGCCTCCCTCCAGCGACCTAGTTTGACAACGGCTCGGAGTCACCACGGAGCAATTACTGTCGACATAATTCTTGTGCAACTTTGACCGATGACAAAGTGCTCTCGGTGGCCGGCCGGGTGTTTTCCTATCCGGGCCAATTTGCATACGGAGTCGCCTCAGCCGGCTGCTGTTGTCGTGGCCGGCAGGTCGGAGATCAGATACTGGACGTGAACAACCAGAGCTTCCTGGACATCACTCACGACGAGGCCGTGAGCATCCTCAAGTACTGCAAGACGCCTATGATGACTATCCGGCCCGTCGGAAAGGTAGGTGCCTAGGGAAGGTGACGATTCAGCATACCTATATGTCGGGGGAACGAGTGATTCGCCGTTCCTTCCCATAAGCTTTGAACATTACACAAACACATAAATGCCTAAATGAACGACTCGGCGGAAGCAATTTATTATAGCGTCATTTCAATTGTGACCGATATGTTGCTACTTCGTATAAGGCAATATTTCAACACCATCTATTCAGCTATTCAAGCTTTCCTGGAATATTTTTGTGTGGTTCAATTTATTGTGAACAAAGAAGGGATCAACGTGGCGGCCCCGGATAATCGGAACTGATGCGCTAAATAACACGAATTAAATACATAAGATCACTATAGATATGAAACTAGAAATTTGCAACATCAAATATGTGAGCGCATCAGGTCTCTCACATTTTAATGGCTTTGTTCTCCTGCACATTGTATTCCGCTGGAAACATCAATCAAACACAATTCCTCTGAAGGAGCTCATTTGGTCTGAGGACCTATCGTATTCGTTCCTGAAGAGAACCTATCGTTCTGAGAGCCCACTTGATCATCTTCACCGAGCCCTCCCTGTCGGCAGGTCCCGTGCGCCTCTTATGCCACGAGCGACACCGGCGGAGGACGGTTTCAGACCGCCATTACGGACGGCAGGTGGGTCGAGTCGCGTCACCACACCTCTGACTGGGCACAGTGACTAATGCTCCTCTCCCTGCAATGTCACAATGAGCAGACACATCAGTCTGTGACGTGTTTGCCCAGCTGCCCCTGCTCTGTGCCGCCTGCCGTCACCTCATACTTGGACGCATTTCTCCGTGTTTGTCCGCGTTCACCGGTGCCGTGGGGGCTCATCAGTCGAGTGGGGAGCACACGAGCGGCGGCGTCGTTTGTTTGATCCCGCTGCGGTCTCCGCTCTGGGCCACCGTCGCACAGTGGCCCTTTTTCAGAATTAGCACGCATTAATTCCCGCATTACCTGAAAGTGGTGCAAGACATCACCACGTGATCAAGGACGTATTCCCTGCCAATGCAAAGAGAAGAAAAGAAACGAACTGCTCAAGGAGATTCGGCCCAACAGCGACAGGCCGCTCGGCCCTAGATTTGGCGCACGTTCGCACGGCTCGCCCGCCGGCCCAGGCCGCTCCGAACGCTTCGTGTGGCGAGCCCGCCAGCCGACCGCGCTGCAATGACCGCCAGGACGCCCCAGGGCGTCACGTGACCGCATCTACAGCTGTTGCCAGCCAACGTTAGTCGGCCCCGGCCGGGCAGCAACTAAGGTCAGCGCGACGCGAACAATACAAACACATAGGCGCTTTTGACGTTAGATCTTAAGCCGACCACGGGACTTGTGCGGCTTGGACATCAAACGTGATAAGAAATCGGACAGTTTTTCTTGAGCACAGCGTTATGCCTACATGACATTTCAATAAGCACATCTTATGGCAAAAGTCAAGCCACATTTAGGCGCACACCAGGTGACACCAGCTTCGAACCAGGTCAATGAGCTTAGTCGTATCGAACAGGAGCCACAGCCGCTCGCGGACTGAACTGGCTCACGTTATGCACCGTAGAAGCAAAATGGCGCAAAATGGCGCGATGCCCTTTGGTGGACATGGTCAGAAGAGATCGGCGATTCGAACGATGTATAATACGACATGTTCCAGAGTGTGCTACTGAACATAAAGCTTCATATGTATGCCGCCATCTCTAGTTAATAATTGTCCTGTTATTGTGTCCACAATATTCGGCAAAAGTGGTCTATTTAAGTTTATACAATGAAAATTGTGGGTTCTAGGGCTTCTACGTAAACTCAGCTTCACAGCCATGCCACTAATTTTTAACATTTTCTCACCGAAAGCCTTACAAATTGATGTTCATCTCACCCTACTTTTTAGGGTCCGCCGGTGGTGTCCGCGCGCCTCTCGACAAACTTCGATTTTGCGGTCAGTTTTACCAAAGATAATTATTTTTTAGGAGGTAAAAATGGCACCATCGGATAGTTTGGAATGTTTTGCACACGATTAGACTGCTTTTTACTCAAAAGAAGAGAAAAATATTTTGAATTTATGCGTGCTAATTCTGAAAAAGGGCCACTGTGCGTCGGTGTTCATCACGTCTTCTGCGCCCCCCCCCCCCGCGACACCCCCCCCCCCCCCGCGAGTGGCTTGTGTCCCAGCCGACGGCGTGTGTGGCGCCTCAGAGCCGGTCCCGAGCTGGATATTTTCGGCTAAACGGGCACAAAGCATGGTTCGACGTACCCGGCGGAGCTGGCTAGCCCCCCTCCCCCCCAACCAGCCGTGGGGGGTGGGGGTGATTCTCAGTCGACCCTCATTTTCCAGGGACAAAAAGGGAAAGTAGAGGAAAGGTATAGAACTCGACAAACATTCATTAGCGCTTTCATTGTCTTCCTTGTCAGTACATGAACCGACACTATCCAATTTGTATGTCCTTAGCTTCAATGCATCAATAACCCTTCCCCATAGCGGTCGGAACTCCGGAAAATAGCGAGCACTCCTTTGAGAGCTCTTAGGCCAGCACATGAATGCCGTATTGTCTCTCGTGATCATCACTGCTACCCGTGCCAAACATAATCACACTTCCCTTCAATAATGCCACTCAGAGCCGACCTAATCTAACACGTCGGCTGTCCCAGCTGACGGTATTTGACATCTATCTCTCCCCCTCCCTCCTCTCTCTCTCTCTCTCTCTCTCTCTCTCTCTCTCTCTCTCTCTCTCTCTCTCTCTCTCTCTCTCTCTCTCTCTCTCTCTCTCTCTCTCTCTCTCTCTCTCTCTCTCTCTCTCTCTCTCCCCCAGAACCACCGACAGAGGCGCGGGACACGGTCAGTGGCAGCCGGCCGGTGCCGCCGCGGCCCCCGCCGGCCGACAGGTCGCCCCCGCCCCCTCCGCCGCTGCCGACGACGGTGACGAATGGGGCGACCCGTCGCTGGTGATGGTGTACGAGAAGGCGTCGGTGCTGCTGGGCGCACACGAGTTCGGCGTGTTCGACGAGCTGGTGCGCCGCTACCTGGCCGGTCAGGTGGACGTGGTCCGCCTGGTCGGATCGCTGCTCGAGCTCTTCAGGGCACCAGAGAAGGTGAGCCGCCGCCTGGGAGAGGCACGGGGTGGAATGTGCTCAATGGATGTGTTGGATTGCAGGTATTTGAGGTTATCCAGACAGTGACTGTTGATGCTATTTATATATTCAAGAACATTCGTTCAAACACCAGCGCAAACTGGTAATGCCCATCAAGAAACAACCAGCGCAAAGAGGTAATGCCCATCATGAAACAGCCTTACAGCAGAGCCTTAGGTAAGCAGGTATATGTAGAATCAAATCGACGTGGGATAGGAGAAAGAACAGCGCACAAAAAAATCAGCGGTTACAAGATAAATGAGACAGAGAGATATCAAAGGGGGACATACTGTTCTATCGTTAAAAAGCACGCGAGACTCGTCATAGGGAAATCTTCAATGCACCATCAGGCATAATAATCTGACGCATCGCTGTCCGTGTTTAATATACAAGGACATCACGCCACGCGGGCATCGACCCCTCCACTCGGGTATTAACTATTCATGGGTGAGCGATGACGGGCACACTGGAGTCATCAGAGCGAGTGACGACGGCGCATATTCCGAACATGACACTCCGACTCTGAATGAAGTGACGGCGCCGACTGCCGTTAGGCACACAACACTGAATGAATATCAAATCCCGAGGCCCTGCGCAGCACATACGTAGCAAGCAATGCAACCCCGAACAGTCAATCGGAAGTTTGCACAACTTGCATGCATTGCTAGGAAAGCACGTTTCCAATAAAATAATCTCACTGTACCAGGCGTACCTATGAGGAATCAGTTTAACAACGAAATCGATCTGCAGTTGTTTAATCTGCTCGGGAATTAGGATTCAGAGCCTGCTTGACATAATCATGAGAAGTGTGTGCCTTCATTCCAGCAGAAAATAAATTTTGATATCAAATGACACGCTTACCTACGCTTCAACCAAACTGCAAGGAGTCAGACAGTTTAAATACATTATCATTCGGAATCTTGTAAAAGATGTTGCATATTTATGAGACCGACCAGAACTACAGAAAATGATCGTATTCATAACCCAATTTGTATAAAACTGGATCAAATATGCATGAAGCGCTACATTAATGCAACATAGCGAAGGAATGCAGACAAAGTTCATTGACTTCTGAGCCCCTGAAGAGCCGACATCTGGCCTTCATCGGCTGTTGGTTCCCACAAAGTGTTCGCCGCACAATCTCGCCAGGGTCACAGCTGGATTAACGTCGGCCGGATAAGGATCGTCACTCCGTTAAAACCGCTGAAGGCCTCCCCGGGACTACCCTGACTCTGCTGACTGCCGGGTCCCTGGGTGGCAGCTGACCCGGGCCCCTCGCTGACCGCTGACTCGGGCCCCTGGCTGGCCTCTGACTCGGACTGATCAGCCGGCGATGGGGGCAGCTGGAGCAGAGTCGGACGTATCAGCAGCGTGGTGCCGGTACCTTCAGACAGGACGGCATCACCACTACCAGAGGAGACCTGTCGCGCCCGGCGAGGGTGACTCCGGACTGTGGCTGAGCTCACTGACCCCACGCCGCAGACCAGCGCCAGGACCAGCACCAGAATCACCTGAGGGCAAAGATGAGAGCTTCATGTGGTAGAATTCACCAAAACCTGGTAGTTTAGGGGAGAGTGGGGTAATTTGGCCGGTGGTGTAAATTGGCCGCCCCCACCTGTACGATGTCCTATAAAAGTGAGTGAAATAACTCTAGTCTCTATTCATTTGTCATGGGTAGAAATAACTGGAGGAAAAATGTCAAAACTTTGCCCCTCGTAGTTTTATTCAAAATTAATAAAACGTTAATTTCATTAGAAAATGGTAACTTTTACTTCTGTTTACAAAGTTGTATAACATGTAGTGTTTGGGCTAAAAACGAATTCAGACATTATAGCGCCATTCTTGGGGGTGTTCAGCGGTTCCAAGAGCAATTTTATCTAATTCCGTAAAGCCGTGATAACTTTATAGACATAAATTTTCAGAATGGCAATATGGGGTAATTTGGCCGGGACTAGCGGGGCAACTTGGCCGGTGCGCTCATGGTCACTATGCTGGGACGGCCGAGTTTTCATGGTCAATTGTACCATAAATGACATGATTCATGACCAACTTTGACTACTTTGATGCCTTACTCCCGATTGGTCAACTGTAAGAGCATGTGACGTCATCAAAGGTTACCAAACGTTTTTTGCTAATAAATCCTTACATAAAATTGGTACAGCCGCACAAATGGTCTCATTCTGTTCAGCTCGCCAAGGCGCATCGAATGATATGCATGATGACCTTGAAATCACGTGACCTTGAGGTTAAGCGACCTGATGCAACGTGACCTGAGGTCAACCTTTGACCTTGACTTCTCAAGGTCAACACATATATCTTTCGATGCGGACTGACGAGAGAATTACGATGGTACTCAAAGTTTTGGCCTAGCTTGATTACTTCAAAAGTTATTCGTAAAAAACTGTGATCGCATCTAGAGCCGCTAATTTGGCTATTTTGACCCCTGTGACCCCTGAGCCAACCTCCAAAATGCGGTAAATGCGTCATAGGACACACGTCATTGCTGAATCTGAAGCTGACTCGCAATATAACAGAAAATCCCGACCGCAAACTAACACCGGCCAAATTGCCCCACACCCCCGGCCAAATAACCCTGCTAGTGGGGCAATTTGGCCGCCTTGCAGACCTTTGTAATACGTCACAATTTCAATATAAGTAATTACTCTATCATTTCAAGTTCACTGTCCAGTAAAGTAAAATGAATGCGACACCTGCCAGCGTTGAGAAAATGCAGAAATGTGTCGTCAATTTTAAGTTATATCGTTTTCTAAAAAAAGCGGCCAAATTACCCCACTCTCCCCTACCTTTTCATTGTATAGTTCAGGAGAACCGGGGCACTATGACGCACTCTTGGAAGAGAGAATATCTGAATTACCACGGCTTGGATTTGCGCATCGTGCCGTTCGCTGTAGCGTGAACGAAATTCTTTCATAAGTGATATCAACAATGGCATGATGCAATTTTCTATTCTTCCTACAAGTCGCTGCAAAGCCCTTCTACACTCTACAACCTGTGCTGCAAACAACTACGAAAGAAACATTGTGGATCAATACCGTATGCACATGCAGAAACCTACAGAAAGTAAAATACGGACCTGGATATGAGTTATGAGACCCCAACTTGTGACAAAATAACGACTATCTTTCACTATTATTAATACACCCAACTCACAAGTTAGATGACTGGAGAATAACATTGACTATTATCAGAGGTTGAGAAATGCAGTGCTTTTGAATGCAACAGCATTCCTGCACTGTCAATCGGACGTTCTGATCGTCCCAAACTGAAATAGATTGCACAAAAGCGGCACAAAACTTGCATCAATACAGAGCATCTATACCTACGCGGCGAAGACCAACGGAAATTATGGTGAAGTCCTTTGTTGCCACATCACAATCGATTGAGCTTCTGTGTATCGATGATCTACAGTTAACTTTACGTTCATCATATTTATAAGCTATAGCCAATAGGGTGGCCATACTAGGGTGGTTCGTATGAGAGTAGCCAATAGGGTGGCTCGTAGCAAGCTAATTGAAACTTTTCTACTTTTTTTTCAACCTACCATGACCCACCGTTAAGCAATGCTTCGGTACTTACCGTAGTCAATTTCTTCCACATCGTTTCAGAGAACTCGCAAAGAAAACAGCTTATCTCAACACAAAACCAAACCGGCTGCTTTGAATCACTCCCCAAGGATTTTGAAGAATACTCTTTGCTGTATCACTTTATCACCGTCACAGCTGAGCACAGGTGGCTCGCGCAAAGCACTGAGCTGCTGACTCACTTCAGACAGCACTGTCCAGTGTCCACGCAGTTCTCACCAGACAGCACAGTGGGCTAGCGGTAAACTCACTTCTCACTTCAGACGGCACTGTCGACGCAGTTCTCACCCGACAGCACAGTGGGTCAGCGGTAAACTCACTTCTCACTTCAGACGCCGGCACTGTCGACACGCACGTCTCACTTTAGACGGCACTGTCGGAGCGGCTGGTCCACAACAGACAAACCTTGTCAGAACGGCCGGCTCCCTGCAGATAGCCCTATCTTTAGCGAGTGGCTCGCTCCACACAGCCCTGTCGGCGCGGCTGGTTCCCTTCAACTCAGACAGCCTTGTAGGCGCAACTCACACCAGACGGCACTGTCGGCGCGAACAACCGCCCTTTGCGAGCCGTGCTGCACGCCTCCGACGCCCTCGAGTTAGTTCGTGGAGGCGAACGCATCGGCTTGTTTTTCTGGGAGCCGCTGGAGGCCGCAGAAGAGGCAAGGGCGGCGCCAGGCCAAAGAGTTCGGCAATCGTTCAGTATCACTGGCCTTCATGGCTCAATCACAGTATTTGACATACCGAGTTTGTGCATGTGAATCTACAATCACATGCATATGACAAAGGCACCAAGAATGATTATCGGCACCCTCAAAGTCCGTTTCTTTGTCCGCCTTGTGCAATATGTTTCCAACACAGTCCTGAACGGCATTCCTCCACGGCCTGCGGACAGGTGAGCTGTCTGCCTCGCTCAGCGTGTGACGTCATCTGATGCATTTTTCATAACCAGAACCAGTGATTACGCACCATTTCATTCGCTTCAAACTTTGATCGTGAACGGTATCAAGGCAATCGTTAGGCGGCGTTTAGGCCTAAAGACGGAGCTCTTTCTGCGCCGCTCCTTTCATGCTGCTCGTCCCTCTGGGTCTGACGTTGGGCGTGAATTAATTAGCCACCTTTAGTATGCGGAGGACGCTGCTGTCGGAACACGAATAGTGTGAGTTCGGCTGCTTCGCTTACCAGCTGCGACGCTGTGGCTTAGAGAAACCGTGTGTGGAACAGAAATACGAAGTTGGTTATTATGTCTGGGCGGCACTGGAATTATCACGCATTAGGCTGTGGTGCTGAATGTCGGAACTTGATATTGCTGACTTCAAAAATTGTTAGGCATGACTCTTTCCTTGATATAATGTTTACAGGGTAGACATAAAAATCGTGCTAGTGTTAAAGACACATACACAACAACACTAAGGCACGAATTTTCTGGAGTTCAGAGTTTTAACCAAACAAGCAATTTTCGCCCTTTTCCAATATATTCGCTTCCAGGTGTTTATAGCTCACGAAGCCGGGCTTCTGTCGAAAACACCATTTATTTCCCTTCCGGCGATTGCAATCGCCCGCTCGGTCTGGCCATTGGCCACCTGCAGTGGCCGGTGACTGAACAGGGGCGCGGCGGGTGCCGGGCCGTCTCGTTTCCCCGCCAGCCGACGATCGGGCTCCGACGTGCCCCGCATCCGGCTGACCAAAACATTTCCGCCAGACGAATGGCGACGATTTGCCGGCCCCGCGGGCGTCGTCACTTAATCTGGAGATAGCCGGGCCGGTGCGGGCCGTGCTGAGTGCCGGGGCGCTGCGTGCCCGCGGCGGTGGATCTGGGACCGACTCCGCCGCACCAGCCGGTCACGTTCCTAGACAGTCTCCTCGGCTCCGGAGCCGTCGCGACGCTCTCCTGTTCCGTCCGTCCAGAGAGCGATAAAAACTGGTCGCGCTGCCAGCTCGACGCGCGATAACAGCACGACGACCACTTGGGACGCGATGGCCTGTGCTCACATACGGCCAGAATACCAATAGGGGGCTTATGGAGCCTCACCTTCAGCATTTTCAAGCTGCGCGCTACTCTGAGACATCACGCAAAGCATAGGTGTATCCGACAGCTCACGCTAAAATTCTTTGGGTCTTTTTCGATTGAGTTGGATGATAAAAAGCGTTATTTCAGATCGACTTTTGTGAAATGCACCATTAGTAGTTTGTCTGTATAATCGCAGTCGACATTCGATCGAGATGTTAATCACTATAGTCGATGGGGATTTATGACCAATACAGCGATTTTATAAATTGAATTAAAAGTATTGCTTTTCAGGTATTACCGTGCCCTAACAATACCCATAACCAAAGTTATTGGAGTTTCTTAAGTCGGACTTTTTCCCTGAGAAAATGTTTCACTTAACAGAATACCTGGCAGAGTACGTAGGTATACTTACTGGCCAGTTAGCTTTTAAATTCATGGATATTCGGCTAAAATGGTCTTCCCACAAGAAGTGGAAAATGCAATTGTGACCGCTTACGTGATATAATATTTTTCCTATAAAATCAGCATTATAATAGGCATATTTCGTTCTTGTCATTGCCCATTATTGACAGTAGGTATCAAATAGCACAAACATTATACGGAGCTTTTCTGCTTTGTGCGTTCCAGTGCAATTGAAGCGTATTTTTCCAATGAGAGAAACCATTTCGTAAGCATTAGCGTTTTCATTTTATGCAAGGAAAAAGGTTAATTTCCATAATATCGGATGTTACGAGTAGTGTAATGCCCGATATGCTCCCTTTCTTGAATCTAGTTGTCTTTAATTTCGACTTAATTTCTAAGCCTTTGTTTTCGGCTGTCTACACTTAACTTTTACACGCATTTCTTTCTCCAAAATCTATTGAAACTGCCAGAACCGCTTTACTGGCTACTATGGTCACTGATTCTACGTACGCTTCAGGTTTTTTCATCACGTTGGCCGATAAGCGAATGGACAACTTAAAGGGACCCTCCCACCTTCAAAAAAGTTTATGAATTGGCATGAAAGTGATGTCGCTCGGTTCAGAAAGAGCAAAAACGAATATCTACCAAATTTCACCGAAAAATATTCACCGATTTTCAAGATATTATACTTTTACTTTTGTTTACTTTTTTGGGATCTCCGCTGTTTCTAGCGACTTTATTTTAGAAGTGCGGCGTTTGCGGCAGATGTTGCGCGCAAATAGCATATGCCACCGCGTGCTACAAAACGTTTTAGTCAAACATTTAAAAATCGTTAGATATTTGCGCTGACGGCACACATTCAGAGGGGTATTCCTAAGCATTAGCCCCTCTGAATCAAAATACTGCAATTTTGAAATTCAATATTTCCGATTTAAGGCATTTCTCGATGTTGTGAGTGCCGAAACCGGTAATTGTGAGCCAGGGACCCCATTTTGGCTATCTCAACTCAAATCTAATGTTAAGGTGGGAGGGTCCCTTTAAAACAGAAGTCACAATTTCACGATTTGTTGCTGCCAATACGGAGAAAACACAGACATTTATCTTCGAGCAGTCGCTTTAAAAACACGTTTATTCTTCCTGATCTGCTGTATTTTACTGGGTAACCTAAATGAATGGCCCGTTTGTTCCCTAAATGCAAGCAAAGCAAGATATATATGGAATTCGTGTCCTCTCACGACCGAAGTACACCGAAAACGTTCCTGTCGGGTCCATCTGATGTATGTCTGTTTACGACACCGCCATTGCGCCTCGTCTGGGCTAAAACATAACTACCAAACTGCATTGGGATAAGTAGTTAAATTAAATTGTTCATGTAAATTCAAGGTCCTTGAAAAAAAATACTGTGGAATCGTTCTTGCGCGTCGTTTTTTACTGTCCAGCTTGCAGCTCATGGGTAGCGACCGGCGTTTTTTTTTTTCTTAGAATGAATAAGCAGGCATAGTGGTCTGGCAAGTTCTTCCGTTCTTGGAACACTGCTGGACAGCCGTGCTCGTAGCTACAGTTAATTTAGCGGCTATTACATCTCACGTCTCAGAATGATGGATGGCCTTGTCCCCATAGCCAAAAACAGCTTATTTTGTAATTTTTCCTCCGCTAGAACCTTAGCAAAAAGAACACTGGCGTCAGAGGGCATGGAAGGAAGTTTCATTTTTAAATTGTGTTCCCGAAGGGAGCAATATTTCATCGTTGTTTTCCTCGCCGATAACTGAAAAACCATCGTGGAACATTTAATCGGGCTGTTTTTCTCCTCGGTATGCATATCTTATCACTCGGATAAGATTGGATGAAAGCGAATGATTAATTGGCCTGATCGATCCAAAGCATACACAAACGATGATACGAGCTACGAGGCATCTGATGACTATGCGAAACGACTACACGGGTTAATCTGAAAGAGATATTCCTGGAACATACACACAATTGTTCACAATGACATCCCTTACTGCTGCGTGTTCACCAGCGTTCATACGTCACCGTGTTCTATTTGCAGCTGACGCTGCTGACGGAGCTGCGCGAGATCGTGTCGCCAGCCGATCAGGTGCGGTTCGATCAGATGGTCTACCATTCGGACCGGCGGCGTCCGTTTGAACATTCGGTAAGTAGTCAATGCCGCACATTTCTGGAACGTTTGCTGGTGAAATGCCATCCTAACACGTAACGGGCAAGAACTGGGCTCCTCATGCGCTCCTAAAAAAAAAAAAAACACGCCAGCGACATCAGATAAAATGGGATGACAGAGAGATGATGCTGGGACGAAATGGTCGTTTGCAGTTGACCACTCTGCAGCTCATTTCCTTCAGGAACGCAACAAGACTCCAAATACCTACCTGAATAGTTTGGATTATTATTTGAGTTGATAGGTTCGGGCTAGCATTGGTATAATTCTCTGGTTCATTCGATGTAAAATACCTTTTGGCAGTTCGGTACCAAATACAAAAGAACAAAAAAGAATCGACCGTTCCTTATATACCGTTGGCACTCAATGTGGAACTTAAAGAAAGCACACAGTCTAGCATCGACCAACATCGGTCACAGTAGTAGCCTGCAGGTCTAACGCCTTTTTTCCGGCTCGCACTAGCACCGGTCGTTTTACAATCGGTGCCGGTGTGACACTGGCGATACCTAATGATTTCCTAAAGAGGTTACCTGGCCAAGTGACGCAGCGCAGCATTAGGTAGGTACTGCTGATATTTCATTCCGAGTGGTCACTGCGAAACATAAATTCGTCCCGGCCGCTGGGGTGGCTGTCCGAGTCGGGTGTGGCCGCTCCGACGGCGCCACGCTCTATTTCAGGCCAAGGGGTATTGGCCGGGACCCCTGGGGGCACTCTGCCCGTTCAGACCGCCAGCTAGCCACGCTGGGCTGAATTGTGGTAAAGTTGGATCGGACCAACGTCAGCCCGAGGCTTTCTCTCAGTATTGCGTTGTGGCCATGGATGGGGATGGGACAGGGTCAAGGATGATTGTGTACTTGCCAACCTAACATCATTGAAAATGCAGCATGAAGTAGGTAGGTATGCCCATATCCAGACATGTGCTTGGATCCGGAAAAATGGATCTGAGATCCGATCCCATGGATCCCGATCCGAGATCCATTCAGATCATAGATCCAACCCCTCAATTTTGTCGAGAGATCTACTGGGATCATAGATCTGACCCTTCAATTTTGTCGCTAGATCCACTCGGATCATAGATCTGGCTCCCCAATTTTGTCGTGAGATCCATTGGGATCATAGCTCATAGGTGCTCAAAATGTTAACAACTTTCTTTCATAAGAAGTTATGAATACCAAAGTATGGTTAGAAACAAACAATCTTATACAAAGACCATATTAGTAAAGGCATCCAGTTACATTATACAGAATACAAAATAAAGGAGGCTCATGACGGTCACAACTTGAGAGAATTGAGTGACATGAAGATTGTTCACATTCACATACCAACAGAAAAGTTTGCATTTACAATTAACATAGAGGTAAGTCAAAGTAATGACTAATGAACAAAACATAACTAGGTACCTACCACATCACAATTCATGTTAGAATCTACATAATGATATTGATAAGACAATCTCATTGATCTTGCATTCGACAACCATGAGGCTTTCCAGTTTCCAGCTACCACAATTGATTGATAAACAATAAAAGATGATACTGACACATGTGGCTTGGTTAGGTAAAAGTATTTCAATCTATTGAATGTAATATTTGATAAAATAAACTGAGATATAAACAAAAGTATAAAAATATTCAACATCCTGCGGAAGCGCGATGGGAAGCGAAATATCAATTGTAATGGCCTTGGATGTTTACCGTAAAATGATTATTCAGTACCTAAATTGAACTCGTGACGTCATTTCAAATAACAAATGAGCTAGGCGTTCTACCTTCGAGTATAATGAAAATAAATAAAAAATCAAACTGGAAATTCAAAAGTCTGGAGCTTTTCTTTAAAGAATGTTCATTTTTTCTGCCTCACATAATTTTACGATACGATTGTTTGTGAATATCATCTTTGTAGCGTTGAATTTAATGACGTAAACGTAAGCTGAAACGGTATTATAGGGCCCTGAGCGGCGTGCGCCTTGCAGCTTTATTTTGTTCACTTTTCAAATGAATAACAATATCTTACGTCGTTAGTTTAAAGGTCCTATTACGGGGAATCTTTTGGAATCATTACGGTCTTGGTCAAATCAAGATTTTTCATTGGTCAAACGATAATGACGTAATAAAACCATATTACCAAAACGTGAGCTGTGAATTTCGTTTGTCTTTTTTTGGGAGGCTCTCTCATAACAAAAGCACAGCATGGCACCACACGTGGCACGACGGCCTTGGCACTATGCCAAAAGTAGGTAATCTGAAGAAGTTGATGCCATTTTTGAACTTGTAATTTTATTAGGAAAGTATTAGAGATTGGTTTCCATTCTTACTAAATCGAAATTGTGTTGCACATACTAATAGCTCATATGAACATTCTGGATTGGGATTTCATACCTGGCGGAAGTGGATTGCTGGATTATTTTTAACAAAACTGACCTATTTGGCTTCCAGGTTTGATTTCCTAACATCTGTCCATAGGCGGCAGAACTGGGGGGGGGGGTGTGGCACCAGGGTACAGTGCCCCCCATAGATTTTGGCATTTTAGCATTAGCCCTACTGGCGTTGCAGAAAGAATGGGACCAAAATGAAAATCTGCAGTGCCCTGCTGCCACTGCATCTGTCTGTACTGTTTGTTCTTTGAATTAAAGTGGCTGTAGCTTGTTGATAAGATTGTCATCAGTGCTGTCATGAAAAAGTTACAATTGGTCACAAAAAGTAGCAATATGCATGTTCTTGGTTTATTTTAAATGTAGTACAAATGTTGTTTATTTAAATTCAAATTTAATGATGATACCTAATGATCACAAGTGGTCTTAACCAATAACCATGTCCACAAGTGATAATTCTCAATTGTATTGCACTGTAAGGTGTACAATTATGTAGGATAAGGGTTTCATTGGCTACAGGTTGTCGTGAGATCCATACAGATCATAGGTCCTCCACAAATTTTTGCCCGCTGGATCCACAGAGATCATAGATCCGACCCCTAAATTTTGTCGAGAGATCCATTCAGATCATAGATCCAACCCCTGAATTTTGTCGAGAGATCCACTCGGATCATAGATCCAACCCCTCTATTTTGTCGAGAGATCCACTGAGATCATAGATCCAGCTCTCGGATCCAAGCACATGTCTGCCCATATCTGTAAGAATCTTGGGTATGCCACAGGTAGGCAATTTTTTTGGAATCGGCACACAATAAAAATGCCCAAAGGCCAAAGCCATGTCATTTCCGATCAATCCTAATGAGAGCTGTTGCGTTTTTTTTTTTTGCGATAAATTAGTGACATGCAATCACTGAATTTGATCTTTACCTATTGTCCGTGTCAGCGGTATGTTATCACTGTATTTCACCTTTCCGAGAGGCTGGCGCTGGCGTCCATCACCAGACAGGTGGCGGCGCCTGGTGGCGGCCCCGGCAACCGCAGATTCAGCGATCCCCGAGCGATGACTCTGGCATCGAGCTTCCCAATGGCTCCTACGCAGCCCCTCATCACAGGTAAGTGATGTCAACACTGTATTTTGATTATATCAAAATAAAAAGTTACGTATCTTGAAATCACCGTGATTTCCGGTAACTCCTTAGGTAGGTAGTCGTAACTCACAGCCAACCTCAAACATTTTACCAAAATGCGCACAAACTGAGCCCCTGACGCCTGTCCGTGCCCCCCAGAAGCCTCGGCGAAGAGGATTGGCCGCTCGCCGCACGTTCGCGGGTGGTCTTCCATAGACATGTAGACGACCCCGGCCACGCGGGTCACGGCGGCACGGTAAGTCACCTCCTCGGCGGGCCGTCCGACGGTAAAAGCACGTGGAGGCATCCATTACCTACACCAGCCGCGACCGGGTCGTGCGTTTTCAGCCCCGGCTTATCCACCGTCCAATATGGGCGCACCAGGATGAAACTGGTATACCTTTTTACGTCGGATGTCCTGATCGATGGGGCAAAGCGGACAGGTTATCCTTCATCATCAAACTTTCCCTGGGTTGGGGCTAAGCATAAGGGATGGGAAGATGCATGCAGTTATTGGATCAATATCCTTCATCGTGCCCACCGCCGTGTTGTCAGATACAACGCAATGACAGTCGCAAGCACTAAGCAGCTTTTGGCAGCCCTGACGCACGGTCCTGACGGCATATTGACCGTCTGGGCACGGTGCAGACCGCTCAGTGTGTTGACAGGCGCCTTTAGTGTGCTGACATCTCCGTCAGTGTGCTGACGGGCTCCAGTTTCAGGGCGCCCTGTCTCCGGCCGGTGCGCTGCGGGCGGCTCTGGCCGGTCCGGTGACCGCCGTGTCACGCCTCCCTGACCGGTGCAGGTCACTGACCTCAGTGCCGACCGGGGACCCGAGCTTCAGCAGTGACCTGACCCGACTGCGACCGGCCAGCGCCCTGACAGAAACGGTCAGTGGCCGAACATCGGGTGGAGATGAGATATTGAAAACTCCACCGCCTAAATTAATCAGGCTTTAACCCACGAGCCGCTGGGGGGGGGGGCATAAAGTTGCCCCCCCCTTTACGTTTTGTGAAATATCTCCGAAACCTGATGAGCTACGAACGTGAAACTTGGCATAGCTTCAAATGAATACCTAGGCAATGTTTGAGGAAAGTTTGATGGTTGTAGCACCTAAGATGACGTCACAGTGACGTCATAAAGTTTTGCCGTTTTCCGATATGGACCGTTCCTGATGACGCTGAGCATGAAACTCAACTGTAAATGAACTAGACAGCACCTGCTGTCATCCTAAAACATCTAACTACACTTCCATCTAGTTTCTGACCAATAATTGGTCCTTTATATTCGGTCCCATATATCTGATGTATCGTGAGGAATATGAGAGGCGCAAATCTATAATTTCACTTATGACGTCACTGTGACGTCATTTCAAATGGGATGAACACCAAATTTGGACACCACCTCGGCTAGGTATTCAGGAAGATGTGTGCAAAGTTTCGCTTCTCTATCTCTTCGCGTTGCGACGATATCGTCGCAGAAGTAAAGGGGGGCAACTATATGCCCCCCCCCCCCCCCAGCGGCCGGCGGGTGGCGCGGAGGCCCAGCGACCGCCGGGTTAACCTTATGGTGTTACGTTTCTATTACTAGGCAGCTCTGGAAAATAAATCAACTTCAATGCACTTGTTACCGTGCAATGTCACGCTGAACTAATTTTAACTGCACTGCATTTGTCGTCGTCAAATTCAACTGATCGATTTGATGGACGGTTCAACGCGTTAGCAACAGTTCCCGCGTGACATTCATTGATTAATGGCTGTTAGACGTCGCGCCTTGTTTGTCTATTTTTATCATAGGTAGTAGCAGGCTGGTACACCGTTAGTAACACACAATTTTATGCACTAATAGTTGTGTTCATTATGTTCGGCGAGGAATACACCTGAACAATGATTGCTCGACAGGAGATGGATTCTTACCCGGCAAGCCCGATCTTGGAGGACCCTGAGGGTAACATCAAGGTGACGATACCCAAGAACAAGCCTCTACTGGGTATCGTGATAGAAGGTGGAGCCAACACGTCCCAACCGCTACCACGCATCGTCAACATACAGGTAACAGAGACAAAGGGTCAGATCATCGGGGGTCGAGCGACGCGTAACTCTCTACACGTGAGCTCCGGAACGAATATCATATTCACGCGCATCAGACATTAATTGCTATTACTTATTGAGTCGAAAAGGTTCTGCCAATAACCCGGTTTACATAGCATATTTGACGAGGCTCTAGCTCGTTAATTTGGCGATAATTTCGATGCAGTGAATGGTCTTCAAATATTTAGAGGGGATAATTTTGTAAATTGTTAAGCACGATTAGCATCTTTTGCAACATCACGGACGGAGATATAAGCTTGCAACAAACCATATGTAAACGCGTCTAATGAAAAGCATCACTGTCCTTATGAGCCTTCCGGAAAGCCGGTGGCTGGGTAGGCTGCGCCGCAGTACCGTCCTGTCATGCGGTACAGTCTACAGGGTGTCTCAAAAGTTCGTTCACACATTTCCCATGCCAATAAAGCATATAAGAACCGGCCAAAAGTATAAAGTTTTGGTGTCTGTGTGTACACTAGACAAATATGCATGCTTTGACAACTGATTAAGAAGGTTGGAAACCAACCCCTTTGCTGTATCTCCAAAAAATATTTGCCCATACCGATTTCTGTTGCTCCGTCAGCTGCCGGAGGCTGATAAAAGGTTACCAGCTTTCAAGCTCTTGCAGGGGAATCCCCTGCAGTTTCTGCGTCGGATTTAGTTTTGACTAGCTCCCCGGCAACATCTGATTTTCCCTGAAAGCCGACAGCTTGCATCGACACCATTCTTGAGTATTTTGTAGGCATTCTCTGGCGCTAACTGCTTCATGAATGACTGGCGCCGACATCCCAAGCGCCATTTTCCTTTTCAAAACGACCCCAGTCCTGAACAAACGGGAAGTACCAGGAGTAAATTTTTCGCATCATATGGTAGCAGAATGTGTCGGACGTCTGTTTCTCAGACACATTGTGCAAATTTTGCAAATTCCAAGCGCTCGTCATTCCCCATGCCAAGACCTTCGCTCGGTTGCGGAGTGTTTTCCTCGGGAGATGTTCTGCTTTGTAAACGGCCCAAACCTGTCCATCGTGTGGTTTTATCGGGATTTTGTGTTTAAAAGAAAATTATTCGCTGCAGATCTGCCTCTTGAAACTTCGTTAGATAAAATTTTACAATAACTGACACTTTTGGAGGGTCAGGTGTCCTTGGCATTGACGATTTTTGTGTTATTGTCCCCAAAAATTAGCGTTATAGATATTATAAACAATTTTAAATTATAATTTGTCTTTATTTTACGATGACCTGCACTTTTTGAAAATGGGTAACCTCTGTCTGTGACCTTCTTGCCAGTTTTCAATAGTTATGACCGCATTTTCAGCTGCTTTCCGGAACACGAGTCTGCTGTCGTGCGAGGGTCGTTCAAAACGCCGTTAGTCTCGCATGGTTTCGTCCTTCAAAAATTTTAGCCACCGTTTTTATGAGATAATCATCATGTTGCACTCATCCTCGCCGACACTTAGCCATGTGTCATTTCCGACTTAACCATTCCCATTACTCCTGAAACAGAGAGTTTCACAACATACCCGACTTTGCAACCTACATTTTCGTGCCTGACCCATGGTCAGAGGTGAACCCTTTTTGTGAGCTCATGAAGGGTCGAATGCACTTGAAAACAATGAGACTGCTTGAGGAAGGTTGTCACCAATGCCCATGCAAAATTTCGACTGTTTATTTCTTGTTGATTCAGAATTATTGACAAAAAAGCATGGCTGGTACCTGTGAACGAACTTTTGAGACACCCTGTACTTCTAACACCATGACGCAGTCTCCGGCGTTCAACGCCATGCGTGGCATCTCATACTGCGTAGACCGAGTCCGAAATGGTAGGGCAGCGTAGGTGTGGCGATGGTCAGACAGGCCAAACATTGTGCCTGCTTATTTGTAAATAGTAATCGTAACCGGCCATGACCAATGCAATAAAAAATTCGTACACGGATACCAGATAAATAACCGACAAAGTGATATTCTCTAGCTGTTGCGCGTAGTTATTCAGCTGTCTTCAAACTGGTTTCTGGTGGGCGTTTAAGTGCATGAGCTACGTGAGTGAGCATTGGCTGTGATGCCTCTTTATACCGCTGGGCAATAGGTAATTGTTGTTTTACATTTCAGCCGTACGGCTCAGCGTTCAGTGCCAGCGGTCTGATGGTCTGTTATTTTACATTTCAGCCGTACGGATCAGCGTTCAGTGCCGGCGGTCTGATGGTGTGTTGTTTTACATTTCAGCCGTACGGATCAGCGTTCAGTGCCGGCGGTCTAATGATGTGTTATTTTACATTTCAGCCGTACGGCTCAGCGTTCAGTGCCGGCGGTCTGATGGTGTGTTATTTTACATTTCAGCCGTACGGCTCAGCGTTCAGTGCCGGCGGTCTGATGGTGGGCCAGGTCATCAAGTCGGTGGACGGACGGAGGCTAGTCGGTAAGTCCGGCTGGACCCGGCAGGTCTGACCAGTCCGATCAAAAATAAGTGTCACATAATTACACACATTTAGGCGTTCATTATTGAATACTTGGCCTATTGTCTTGTCCCAAGTGATGGGCTTTACAACATTACCACATAATTGCACACGTTCCCGACTCAATTCAGCCAATGCGTCGATCTCAGACATGTTTTCCTTTCAGGCGTCAACCACCAGCGAGCGGCCCAGCTGATTGCAGAAGCATACGCCAACAAGAACAAACCCGACATCGAGTTTGTTGTTCGCGAGCTGAAGCGAAGTGCCTTCAACGTGCGTCACTGTGCGCCGGACCTGACGCCCGACTAGTCCCGACCCCTGGAGCGAGCGGTCCGACGCGACGGTGGAGCCACCTGGGACCGATGGGGACCACTCAGTCAACAACACACCACACAGAGGCAACAGAAATAGGCGTCCGAGATCGCTGTTCGGCAAACTCGACCTGCATTGAGCCCAGGCCACTGTGAGGATTTACGTTTTGTCACAACATTGTGGTCAGTTTAAGTTTTGGACCAAAATATGTCAAAGTCACTCAAAGTGCTATTTTGCTACTACCTACGTTATGTAACCCTTCAACTTATGTAACTCTGCGATCAGTTTATCCCATTGGATCGTTGCGGCGCAGTTAAAAGATCGTGGAAAGCAATAACTATTTATTATCTAGCACCCTGTGCCAATGATTCCCAGGAGTTTGTAAATATGGTGGATAATAGGGGAAGTTGGGGGAACGCCGAAGACTTTTTTTCTGACGCCCGTAGCACGCAAGGTAGACAACATAAGCTATTCTTGTTGGCGTCATTCGAGAGGCCAGTCTTTTGCCTTTCAAACATACCAGGCGCATTTGATGAATTCGCATACCGTTAAGCGCACAAACTAAAAATATCAAAGAAGTGACTTTTTCGGCGTTGCCCCGGACTGCGGGGAAAGCCGAAAATGGGAGAAATGATCTACGGGGAATGCCGACATTGATGTTTTGCCATTTTATCTCAAACTTTATCCAGAATTGATCAAAGCTGACACGCGTTTTAAGAGCTTGAGGAGGCGGTGCACACTGGAAGTTATAATTGTGTGATATAATAAGAACATGCCAGGTAAATCATTCCTTATAGGTAACAGGCCGTTGTGTCGGTTGAAAGTGTAATTTGTGTGACTAAAAATACGCGTTGCTATTCTACAGCAGTAAAGTCCACGTAGCGTGCTTTTAACACGTGCGTAATCGCACGTTTTCGGCATTACCCCAGCCTGCCATACTTTCATTTGCAGGCCCATAACTTTTCAACGTGCTGTATAAATTTCAAATAGGCAGCACACTTATGCAAAGACATGCTAAAGATTACTTGACCGAATTGGCCAGACAAACGGTAGCATAATGAGTAAGAAATGCAGCTTCAAAGGCGCATGTAGTACAAGGGAAACGTACCTTGAAAACGCTCTTGGCGCCCTCACAGTCGAAGTATTCCGAATGACGACTCGTAACAAACATGCGATAATTGTAGTCACTTAAGCTTCAGAGCATCACTGACAGGTGGCATCCATGTCTTACGGTTTTCGAAATATCTCGAATTTCGGCTTTGCCCCAACTCCGGCATTGCCCCAACTTCCCTTAGTTCATAGCTGAGCGCTATTGCAGCGACCACCGAAGGACTGCAATTTCGGCCGTCGACAAAATTGAAATTTACGGCACACATTATCCCACTTCACCTTCACCGACACACTAATGTCACAAACCATCCCTCACACTCACCTTAACATCAAACCTCCTCTCAACGCCCCGCTTTGCCTCGTCCCGTCGCCCGTCTCCGCGCTGCGGCATCTATTCCAGCCAACCAGGGAAGCTCTGAGCCTGGGTCCTGAAGCTTGCAATGCCTGTCGGACGTGAAGCTTGGCCAGCTCGACTGTGACGCTATTTCCGCCCCGGGTACCGCCTCTCCTGTGTTCTGCTGCCGGATCCGTCTGCCGCCGGCGGCTGCTATGCATATCAGGTGTGCGGGTGGGGAGTCTGTCCGGCCGCGCACCGCGTCGCGCCGCGCCCGGTTGTCAGTGTCGTGCCGTGACCGGTGTCTGTCGTGTCTGTGGTCAGCCTTTGAGGAGCGCTCGTGCTGCGTGCCGTCGGGTCGAGTGCTGGCCGTTTGTACTGTTGTGTCGCCGTCGTTGTCCGCCACCGAGCGCCCCTGTGATTATTGTGGCTTCTAGAGTGCTTCTTTGTCGCTGCACGACCGAAGCAATAACGTGCTGACTGGCTAATGACAGTGAACATGAGAGTGTGTGATGCTGCAACGTGCATGTCCCTTTGTTGAAAGGGACATCCCCGCTATTACTCATTTCGAAATTGACAGGCATGCAATGTAAATAATTCCACTTTTTCCAAAATCGTTTTCAAAATGTCATCTTCATTTGTACGCAATCCGGACCCAATTTGTCTATTTTGTCCGGATTTTGCCAACGTAAATCAATAAATATTCCATGGAATGACTGAAAAAATTATCGATTGAAATAAAAGACTAATTCTAATAACTTTTAAATTTGGTAAAACAAGTGGGAATGTCCCTGGAACGCATAGCGCCCAGCAAATGTCAGTGACTCGCACACAAACTTTGCACCGACGGAGAGACAGGGTCCACGGGAGCCATGTAGCCATGTGTGTAGTGCGCACCGTCGTGCTGCCGATGGGAGGCGGACTACACGCCAGCGTCAGGAACGGCATGATCTCAAAGGGCTGAATAAGGGTTAGGGGGTGAACAGAGCGTGGGTCGGGCAGCGTTTGCCACTGGCGCCTTGTGAACAGCGCCGCATCTGTGTCGTGCGTGTGTGTAAACTGTGAACCGTGCGGCCACTTTGTGCTGCGTGCCACAGCGCTCCGGGGCCCTCGCTGTGCGCGGGGGAGGGAATGGGTGCCCTCATACTGAGCCATGTCAATACAACCATGCACTTTACGCCAGTCTTTCAGTCTGCTCGTCGGATGAGGGTAATGTTGAAATCACATGGCTGTGCCAAAGCCACATGCGTTTAACGCTACTACTGTACTCAAGCGCGCACCCAAAAGTAGCCAGCATTGCTCCACATATTTCCTTGACAGACTCTCAAATGAAAGCTAGAGTAGCCGCAAAACTAACAATGCTTAGTTCGAACTAACTTCAATGAAAAGCACCATCACTGGTACTTCTCTCAACTCTTGCAGACGGATATGGGAATTACAGATGAGCTACAGATCACAATGGTCTGCAGATGACCAGCATTTGGCAACACATCCGCGGAGACGGTTTTCAGTTTTATTGCGGATTTGAGAGACACATGCGGCTGAAAGTAAAAATATTGTGAGAGCGGCGCCTTAAAACACCTGGCAGAAAACATCGGATGGTCAAATATTCCCTGACCAAAAGCAACCTAACCGATACCGACATGTCATCGGCGATGCAAACCTGCAGTTAGGTTCGATTTTGTTGGTAAGGCTGACCTTTCAAGGTCAAATTTCAGTTCACTCGACGCGTCTCGACGACGCAAAAACGATGGTGGTCTAACTCTCCTTTTTTCGTTTGTAGAGAAAATCACGTAACATATGAGGGCCACCAAAACTGACGTAGTTTAAAACACAATAATTTTGCATCATGAATTCAAATTTCAGCCGCAGGTCTCCAGGTCAAATAAAGTGAACATGTTTCCAAAAAAATATGCGATTATTTGCATATTTGTACAACAGTAAATTCCCTAGAAGCTCGAAACTCAAACAAACGTGAATTGCATGGCATGACTTTGATCCAAGAACAACTTGTCAGGCCGACCTTTCGAGGTCAAATTTTTGTTCACTCGACGCGTCTCGACGACGCAAAAACGATGGTGGTCCAGCATGCCATACATGATTGAGTCTTAGGTTATTGTTGCAGAAAGGTGTTTCCACAAAAATCATGCCTAAATATTTAACGGTTTCTGTCATCTAGGGACAAGCCATTGACCTGAGGACAAAGCTGAGGATATGTTAGCGAAAAAGCTGAACAGAGCTACCTAATGAGTTTTATAGCGTCAGTTCCGGAGTTATGCGCCTGTTTGGGAAAATTGTCAAGTTGGGAGCATTTTACCTTTGGTGGCCTCCAGTGACCCAAGCCTTGACCAGAGCGAAAATGATCCTATACTTTTGACGTTACTTATTGAGGGCTATCAGGTACTTTTTAAGTGTATTTCTGCCTTTCTTTACATAATTCTAAACCCGGCACCGCCTGGGCTATTTCCGTACCCACGACAGCCTGGTGGTGGGGGGGGGGGGTCGGATTCGACCCCCCCCCTGTTATCTCGAGAACCAATGATCGTATCGAGCCCCGCCAGGCGGCGTTCGAAAGGTCTCTACGGGACCTTCCCAAAGCACTCTTAAGATTTTAAGATTGAGGTCAACTTTCGGGTCAAGATCAGGTCAAAGGTCAAATTCTGGGGTTTTGACTGATTAGGCTTACGGACAGCGGAATCGATAGCTGCTGCTCGAAACTCACCAAAAATGACCTCAAAGACCTAGTGAAGGTACCATGTGCGTATAGGGGTCATACTAAGTACCGGTCAAGGTCAGGTCAGGCCACGAAAGGTCACGATTTTCCCTTTCTGCTACATGGGCGAGCGACACGTGTTTTATGGCTTATTTTTCACGCCGAATCCGATGGTAATGGTTATATGTGACTCCAAGTCACTGAACTGGTGATAAGTGTGCATTGAAAGCATAAAAAAATCGTTTACACCATACATAACTAAACGAGGGCTAAGAAAAAAGTCAATATTTCAACTTTTTATTTTTGAAATAAAAATGCACTTTTTTAGACGAGCTTTGTCCCAGTATACTAGTGGTGCCATTTGTTTTTACATGCGATGTTCAGAAGTGCCTCTAATTCACGAAAATGTGTATGACCTCACCATGCCCTATGCATGTTGGAGCTATTTTTTACAATTTGGAGGTCAAAAATCAAGAAAGAAAGTTTAAATTTGGGATGGACGATATGGACGATATCCATGGACGATAGCGGCTAAACAAAGAGAAGCTAGTCTCGGTAACATATTTATCTGGCTGGGGGCAATGATACCTATTGGGAGGCCGGGGCAAAAGCCACAGCAGCTCCAACCTCACCGGGTAGCGGGAGTCCTGCGTGTTCTGAGTGAATGGGGTAAGGTCACGATGGCGGATCCAACAATCAGACTTTTCTGTGACGAAAATCAGCAGTGGGAGAACACGCCAGCCTTCAAAGCTGACAAACTACACTCCGGGAAGTAGCAGAGGAGGCAGGGATAGATTTTATCCCGTACCTTGGACGAGCCCCTTGACAACCACCAAGAGAGTTAACGGTAGTAAACGCCACATGGTGGTGTCGAGCACCGCGCCCGTTTCTTCCGCGATAGACAGGGAGTCCATTTGAACAGGGAGGGGTATATGAGGGTCTGTGAGCGTTTGAGCCGCGTGTTCCGGTGAGCGATGTGTACTGCAGAATGCAGATCTCTGTTTGTCTGTTTGACAGATCCCGCGTCGGACTGAGCGCCACGGCGGACTGCCTGAACGCCACGGCGGACTGCACTCTTTCGGACGCCTCGGCATGAGAACGGAGTCACAGTGGAAGCGTGATCGTGCTTCTGGGTGTGAAAGCAGTTGTGTACATATGTAGTGGACGTATGTTTTTGTAGGGGGGAGGACATCTAATGTTCTAATAGAGCTCTATAACATATATTCCGTTTTTTGGAAATTCTCAAAATTTTGGATTTTATAAGCTGTTTTCAAAAAAGTATAGTTTTGAATTTTTAGGGGTGAAAAACGCATTTTATGGAAAATCCGAGATAGCCATTTCAAAGAACTCGTTGAGCTGCGTCTATCCATGTCCTAAATTTGCAATTTGCTTTAAATCTTGATTTTTGGCGATTTTTTAAAAACATTTACCACTTTTTGACTGAAAACGCCATGTAATTACATCACTAAAATCGATATACTCGTATCTAAAAAAAAAAATGAAAAAATCTTAAAAATTACACATGAGACGTCAAATTGATAGGGGAGAAGGTATGCCAAATTTCAAGTTGATAGCGTAAGCGGTTCATGAAAAATGCAAGAAAAGGGGGGGTTCGATCCGATCCCCCCCCCAGGCGGTCGCGGGTTAAATGACTGGGTGGGAACAAAAAGGCTCCCACCATGCAAGGTTGGCTCAGACCTACACTCGGGGTGCACTAAGCCTCGATAGCTGCATGCCACGCATGAAATGCCTCTGTCATCTGGCTATTGAGGGAGATTCGGCGTCGGCAAAATATACTTTTATCAATTTAGTTCCGCACTGTTGTTGCTGTTCGCCGACGAAGTGTCCCGCGCGCGCGCGCCGCCCAGTCCCACGCCGGCCGGGCGGCCTTGGCCCTGGCTTTTGATTGGCTGAGCGATTCGTGTGACCAGGCGAGCCCGGTCGGCTGGGGTCGCGCTATCACGCGACCAGGGGACCCACGGGACCGGCTTCGAGGGCGCCCAGAGTCGCAGGTTGGCGGAAAAACCGGCTAGCACCAGGTTTTAACCGTGTATTTATCTATTTAGTTCTGCACGCGTTCAACGCATTCAGCAATGAATCTTCTCCATGAATGACATTACTCTCTCTGTCGCCTTTTTTCAGCTCCACTTCAGCTGACAAGCAGCCTTCAGAAATCGTCATATGATGCTAGCGGTAGACAACAATGTGTTGTCCTGCGTCGGGAAATGAATCATCCAAAGTACAGCCCTCAGCAGACTGCGTGGTAGGTATTCTTTTTTTCGGCAAAACTGGTAATAACTCAAACGCTATGTTATCAGTCGGTCGAAACTCACTGCAAATAGATGCGCCATACTCCACTCCTTTTATTGGGTCTACCACTAAACAAAGTATACGCCTTGTGTGGCAACAAAATGCAAAAGTTTGTTTTGGGGGAAAATATACACTTTTCGGTTTTGTTGCCAAACTGGATGGAAAATGAATACGATGATAACGCCAATCTAGGGTGCGGAGTCTCGCGGGTCTTGCTGTTACGATTTCTGAGTGACCGATAGCATAGTATTCACGTTATTCTCGGTTTTGTCCAAAAAAGAATACCTACCACGCAGTTTGCAGAGGGCTGTACGTGTGTGTTGTCATCTCTGACCCATGTGAAGCAAAAGCGAGCAGCGTCGGAGGGAAGGTTCACCGGGTGGCACAATGACCCTGACATTGAAAGCAGCTACACGTACACAGGTTGGCGTCTGAGAGCGCTATAGACTGAGGCGACAGTGCTGGGAAATGACTCAATGTTGGAACGTCTTTCGAAGACTACTCACTATCAAACCGTAAAATTATTTAAGTACCTCCCCGCGCCCAGGGGGTTACGGTTCTATGCTGCCACATCCCAGCCAGCCTTCCAAAGTGGGGCCCATGTGTGGGCACCAAACTGGAACCCATCTGGGCTACCCACCACGGACCCAGATGGGCGTGTCTCCAACTGGGTCCCATCGGGGCACCCCAGACGGGGCCATGTTGGACCCAGCTGGGACCCGTATTGAGCCCCATATGGGCTTTCCCAGTTGGAACCCACATAGGCAGCCCCCGTGGGGCCCATATTCCTATGTTCCCATATCCCAGCTGGGATATATACCTACCTAATGGGTCCCACACGGGCTTTCCCAGTGGACGCATGCAAATAAGCCAACATGGCTTTTAATTGGGATTTGGGACCCAGCTTACGTCGTACACTATTTCCGCGTGAATTCCAAAAAAAAATGTGGTTTCACGTGGGAGAAAGGCGTACCTTTTGCCTCTCACTAGATCCCCAGAGATTCGAACTCAAGACTTATGGAACATAATGTGGGGACTGGGGACCCTAACCACACCACGCTATACCACTGCAGGTATGCGGCCGACGCCCGCAAGAGAACGGAAACGTAGACCTTTTATGCGTACCTATTGTGAAAAAGGAGAAGAGTTTGTAACGATAGTGTAGAGGCTCCAGGCCCGAGTCAGCGCTGTATTGCGTCTAGTCATCAACTACCGGCTGTCATCAACTGATGTCACTTTGACGTCATTTCCGGCCGATCTATGTATGGTAGCTACAAAGTTCATATTTTGACAGGTGTCAAATTGATGCAGCCAAAGGTACTAAAAGTTTAGCGTCGATACGTGTAACGGTTTAGAAGTTATTGCAGAAAAGCGAGAGGGGTGTAAGGTGGGCAAACAAAATATTTCCTCTGGGGTATATTCTTGCGGCGGCTGGTTGCTTGACGGTGACAACTCGGTAACGCAACGAACAGTGCACTGACGCGCTCGGCAGCCTCGACGGTAGCATTCTGAGATGGGCGGATCAAAACAAAACGAAATCGGCTCGGTGAAAAATGTAAGCGTTACGTCACAACCTAATTGTGAAGGATTCAGGAAAAGGGCGGGCAAATAAAGGAAAGTTTTACTGGGGTAGGAAAGGTAGGTTACATTAGTATACGCACGGGTGAAGGTAAAAAAAGGAACAAGACTACGAATTCATAACATTCTCCCCACTCGAAGTTCTATGAACTTCGAAAACCGGTTACAATTGCACGCGGTAAAACAGGCACTTCAAACACAACAAAACACAACACTTCACTGCGAGCGGCGCGCTAACAGTCACCATCGCAGGCCTACTCGCCGGCGGCCTCCAGCGCGTAGAGTTTGTTGACAGGGCGCCGCGTGGTCCTGCCGCGCAGCACTATCACCGCGGCGCGAGCCTGCCCGTCCGGCCCACGCAGCAGCTCGGCGACGCGGGCCAGCGGCCACCCACCGCGCGGCCCCTCGTCTCGCACCAGGACGACGTCGCCGACGCCGGGGACACGACTCGGCCGGCCGCGCGGAGAGGTGCTCCAGCACCGCAGGGCACTCAGGTACTCAGATATCCATCGCCGGTTGAGGTGGTCGCACACTCGCCTCCGATGTCTCCAGGCCCTGGTGATTGGAGACTCGTTCAGAGATGGACAGAGAACCCCATTGATAGCAGTAACACCGAACAAGAAGTGGGCGGGTGTGAGAACATTCTCTCCGTCATCCTGAGTGAGAGGTCGCAAATTGATCGCAAAAGCCAGCTCATATAGAGTAACCGACAGCTCCTCGAAGCTGAGATGGCACAGGTGCAGTGTTATTCTCAGAGCCTTCTTGGTAACTCCTACAAGTCGTTCCCAATATCCCCCCCACCACGGGGCCGATTCGGGGATAAACTTCCACGTCACAGAGTGGGGAAGGTGACCGGTCAGCGCGTGAAAGGTGCGAGCGTTATCGCTGTAGACCAGAATGGGGGTGCCTCGCAGTGCAAAGAAGCGCCTTAATGCAATGATGAGGTCAGACGACGCTTGAGAGCGGACGAGTTCTAGGTGTACTGCTCGTGAGGTGGCACAGGTGATTAACAAAATCCATACCTTCTTCTGGTGCCCGTCCACATACAGTGGCCCCATGAAGTCAACTCCCACTTTGGAGAACGGTCGTGCAGGCTGGGTCCTGAACGTCGGCAGCGCACCCTCCGGCGATCGGTACGGCAGGCCGCGGTATCTCCGGCATCGGGTGCAGGTGTCGACGACACGGCGAACAGCTCGCCGCCTCACCATGTACTCTGCGGCAGCTACAGCGAGCGTCACGCGGGTGCCCTGGTGGAAACACCTCCGATGAGCGTCATCAATCACCAGGGTGGTTACGTGCGCGAACTCTGGTAAAATGATAACAGGGGCTTCGTTTGTGCGCGGCACCGACTCTAGGATTCCGTCCAGGCTCAGCTGGGGGCGAAGCTTTGCGAGGCACGATCTTACCGGGAGAGGTTGGCAAGCGCGGAGAGCCTCGAGCTCCAATCCGAAGTGCCTCTCTTGCGCTTCCCCGATCAGCAGCCGCAGTGCGCGCCTCCTCTCTTCGGTGGTCAGCTGCGAAGAATCCTCTCTCTCTCCGCTCGGGGTCTGCGGGCATTGTCAACGAACCTCAATACCCAGGCGTAGCGGTTCACCGCCTGCTTCAACGACGAACATTCAGTCACATCGAACAGGGATACGGTCGGCGGCCGCTCTGAGTCCCGACTCACAGTGCAGGCCTCCACACGTCTCGACTCACCAGTCTTGGTCGGCTTCAGCTCCTGAATCGCGTCAGCGCTGGGCTCAGCTGGAACAGGCAACACATCAACAGTGTCCACGCCATCAACGATAAACTTCGGTCCGTGCCACCACATGGCACTCTTCGCCAGTGACTCGAGAGACATACCTCTTGTGCCGAGGTCCGCCGGGTTCTCCTCACCCCTGACGTGCCGCCACTGGTCCGCGCGCGAGAGCTGGAGGATGGCCGAGACGCGATTCTCCACGAAGAGCTTCCGTGGCCTCCCACAGGAGATCCAATAGATGACGTCCATAGAGTCTGTCCAAAAGTACACTGTAGGAGACGACATGTTCAACGACTTCCTAACGAAATCCATCAAACGCGCCCCAATCAAGGCCCCCATCAGCTCCAGGCGGGGGATGGTCAGCTGGGTGGAGAGGGGGGCGAGTCGGCTCCGGGCGATCAGGAGCTTCGCCTCCCCACCCTGCACAGCATACACAGCGGCACAGAAGGCGACGGCTGAGGCATCACAGAACACGTGATACGTCGCTTCCTCCGATAAGGTAATGGTACAGCGACCTATGGTAATGGTAAATTATCCATAGGTCGCTGGTTCAAATCCGGCCCGGAGGACTATGTAAGGTGGGCAAACAAAATATTTCCTCTGGGGTATATTCTTGCGGCGGCTGGTTGCTTGACGGTGACAACTCGGTAACGCAACGAACAGTGCACTGACGCGCTCGGCAGCCTCGACGGTAGCATTCTGAGATGGGCGGATCAAAACAAAACGAAATCGGCTCGGTGAAAAATGTAAGCGTTACGTCACAACCTAATTGTGAAGGATTCAGGAAAAGGGCGGGCAAATAAAGGAAAGTTTTACTGGGGTAGGAAAGGTAGGTTACATTAGTATACGCACGGGTGAAGGTAAAAAAAGGAACAAGGGGGGGGGGGGCTATGAATAGCCCCCCCCCGTGGGGTGCGGGTTAATGTTATATTCACTCGTAGTGGGCATCGATGACCTGTGCATTCCGGGCGACCGAAAATTCCATATCACCAAAAGCATATGACGAAGAAAAACGTGTTTAGAGTCATTCTATTCATAGAATGCAATATTTGAACTTGGCTTATGGAATTATGGTACCTAAGTATCACCAGATACAAGTTTCAGTTATTTCCTGTCTTTTTCCAATGAGTCACATCTGGGCACGCCAAAAATGTCTAACCCATGTATAAATGTAAAGGCGGCGGGACGGACACAGCCGCTTAAAATACGTATTACACGTGTAACGCAAAACATGCCAGCCGCTGTCACCAGCCGTTTAAAAGATTACCAGGTTCACGGCAACAGAGAAAATAAGGATGAGCTGTCTAAACGCGCTTGGCTGATCACACACATGGGTGACTACTGATATAATAATGAGCTGCTAAGGTTTACACTTTACATACAAACGATATACCTAGTATAAAAATAACTTCTTAACCCGCGCACCGACGGGGGTCTGCGCCAACTTCGCACCGACGGGGGGGGGGGGGTCGGATGACCGCCCCCCCCTGAGATCTCGAGAACGAAGCAAGATAGCGACAAGCGGTAAACGGCATCAGATACGCACGGTCAAGATCTACAATTTTTACAAAGGTCATTTTCAGGTCAGGTCAAAGATGACGTCACAGGGGTCGAAAAAGTCAAAATGGCGGCGCTGGATATGGAGTTTTTCTCGAATAACTTTCGAATTAGTCAAGATAGGAACAAACTAAGGGCAGCATCGTGATCCTCTCGTCAATCCGCATCGAATGATATATATATATATATATATATATATATATATATATATATATATATATATATATATATATATATATATGTTACGGGTCATATGCTAACTTGGGCAGTATGCAAACTGCCCGGGCAGTATGCATACTACCCAACAGCCCGGGCAGTATGCATACCGCCCGGGTAGTATGCATACTACCCGACCCCTTGGGCAGTATGCATACCGCCCGGGCAGTATGCATACCTCCCGGGTAGTATGCATACCACCCACCTTTCTTCTCACGGGCAAGATGTTTACTCGGGCAGTATGTTGACTACACTTCGTGAGGCTTGTTAATGCAATAACTCGTGTATATATGTGAATGACAAATGTTTTAACCTTCCGGGTGGTGGGGGGAGGCATTTTTTGTTTTTTTTCTTTGTTTTTTTCCTTAGTTTTTTTTCGATATATCTCCAGAATTCCGCTGCGCCGATTGCCACCAAACTTTCAGTACCCTCCCGGGATCGTAGCTATTACACATTGTGACCAAAAATTTTCCAAAGGCTATGATAGGTTGGCCGCTAATGACGTCGGAGTGACGTCATTTCTGCCATTTTCGACCCAAAAAAGGTTTCGCGGGAAGAGCTGTCAGGCCTACAGCTTTATAGATACAGAAAATGTTTAAGAATAGGTGTCGAAAAAAGGTGTCGAATTAGAGGGCTACAAAACTGCTATTTCGGATTTTTTAAAATTTTTAGATTTTGACGCCCCCCCCCAAACAAAAAATGTAATTTTTTTAATATAATAGGCAAAAAATCCAAAAAGCTTCTTTTTTAATTTCGAAAAAAAAACCGGAAAATATGTGATAGTCCCTACCGCCTTCTATCCACATATTAAATTTGAGATTGATTCCTCTTTTTTGGCGAAGTTATAGCGAAAAAAGAACTGAAAGTGATGACGTCAAATTTTGTCGTCGTCGTTTCATTTTACTCAGTTCACGCTTCACAATGACAATGACTTGTTGGCCACTGGTTATTCAACAATGGATTTGGGAAAAAGTAATTTCAACACTTTATTCCAATCCTCATTCCATCCTACGATCGATCAATCACGTTTGAAGACAAAAAGTCTTCTCGGTCGATCTATTGTTATCTAGAGAGCCATTTATATTCTTAATGTGGACATGGATTACACAACTTTAAGTCGGAAAGCGGGCAGTATGCAAACTGCCCAAGCTTTTGGGCGGTATTGATACTGCCCAAGGGGTCGGGTAGTATGCATACTACCCGGGCGGTATGCATACTGCCCGGGCTGTTGGGTAGTATGCATACTGCCCAAGTTAGCATATGACCCGTAACATATATATATATATATATATATATATATATATATATATATATATATATATATATATATATATATATATATATATATATATATATATATATATATATATATATATATATATATATATATATATATATATATATATATATATATATATATATATATATATATATATATATATATATATATATATATATATATATATATATATATTGACCTCGAAAGGTCAAGGTCAAAGGTTGACCTCAGGTCACGTGACCTCGAGGTCATCATGTATATCATTCGATGCGTCTTGACGAGCTGAACACAATGAGACCATCCACGCGTCTGTATCTTGTTCCTGTACGGAGTTATTGGCCAAAAACCTTTGGTGACCTTTGATGACGTCACATGACCTCACAGCTGCCCAACAGCAAAACAGACCTCAAGGTAGTGAAGGTTGATCGTATATGAAGTCATGTATGGTATATGGGGCCATTCCGACCCGTTTTAGTGGTAAAAACAGGGAGTTGATTTTTCCCCCATTGACTTATAATGGGGAGGTCGCGAAATTGACCTGACCTTAGGTCACCGATATCAAAATTCCGAGATATACAAATTGTAGCTACTAATGACCTAATAACATCCTGCGACTTCCAAAGGCCTCCGACATCTACTGTAGCTCTGGCACGGTGACAAAGTTGCAAAAAAGTGACTTGAGGTTGGGTCATTCAAAGTGACCTGGTGACCTGACCTTGAAAGGTAAGAGGTTCAAACTTGCACACCATGTGTAAAATTGATGAGGGAATAGTCATACCAAATTTCGCGGCGCCGGTTTTCCCGCTATTCGCGAAAAACCTCAGGGGGGGGGGGGCGGATATCCGCCCCCCCCGTCGGTGCGCGGGTTAATAACGCGTAAAGCGAATATAAAGCGGAGGCTGTAAGCAAGCAGAATCAATTTGACACGCGCGATGCACACACTCGAAAGTCTAAGATCAATAAGGACTTTTCTCCCTCATAGAATCATCCAGGTATGGATTTTTCTAAATAGATATTAATTCGTTTAAAAAATGGATTTTTTTGTTTACTGATATCATTTTCAAAATATATATTACTTTGCAGCCATAGAATAGCAATAAAATAAGAAGGATCTTACTTTTAAGCCAAATGCCTACACAACAGGTGGCCAGTATGAAACTATATAGGTAAAATTAGATTGAGCATAACATCGCCAATAATGGACAGATTTCAATTATTTTTGGCTGGAATACTTTCAGTTAGTTTATATTAGCAGCTCAGATTTCAACTTCCTGCCAGTAACTAGTGGAAAACATTTTTTAAAAATAGATTTAGTCCGAACCTTTTGATGGGAAGGAATCACAAGGACAGAGCCACCGCTAAGCGAAGCTTGTTGCGATGACCCTGCCCTCTACTCTCCGATCGCGCAATTCCGATTCTATGGCAGAATTTAGAGTCCAAAGTTTAACGTGCGCACAAAGCCGCGCACGGCCGGTCCCCTCGCTGACTTCGCCTGGCTACGGCCTGCCACCAACCGCAACCATACCTGTCAGGAGGCCCATAAATGTCGAGCGCCCGTCGCGCTTCGAACCCGGACTGTCACAACCGGGAACACGTGCTCTCACCACGCGGAGTCCAACGCTCTATACATTGCACCGGTAAGTCAGCAAGCGGTCCGGGACCTGTTCCCGCATTTCTTCTTTTTTAATAACCCAAATTACAAAAATGTTACCACTAGGCATGCGCCACTTAACGCCGTACGGCGTCACCAGATCACATGTGATCATCAAGAAGTTCTGAGGACTAGCAGATGTTTTTCATGGTGGGAACGGCAAAATCACCAAGAAATGACCATTCAACTCCAAAAAATCAACGCTGCTACCGAAAAGCTGGGGTTCTCTTGCTGTGCGATCTTTAAAACATATGTACAGTTAATACGTCAAAAAGCAGGGATCAAGTACAGAAAAAGGATAAAGGCGACGGAGGCACAAGTACGTGCACAGAAAACCCGCCTGCGCCGTCTGGCACAGGGTCCAATGAAGGGCAGCAAAAGCATAGAGGCTATCGATTATGGATGATGAATCTTTCTTCACCTACAGTGGCAGCCAACTGCCTTCCAATGCCGACTCCTACACCTTAGCTGGTGGAGACACTCTTCCACGTGTGGGTCTCA